AAGTTTTTATCATCATAAAACCCATAGTAATACAAATAACCTCCAAAAGGTTATTTTCCGGCGAACCGGTCACTTTGGCTTCTAAGTCCGTTCTTGGGCTTAGAACCACCTTCCAACCCCTCTTTCTACACATCTAAAAGTGTAGAACAATACTAGGGGTCCTTCATGTGATATATTGGTCATATGGTATATAAGAAGTTAAGGAAAAGTTGTTACAAGGTTATTACCTTGATTCTTCACACTTTCCCTAGCTTTTCCTTTCTTTAATCCTCCTTGGACTTCCTTTTCTTCCTTCTTGAGCTTGGTTCGAATGGAAATGGGGAAAATGAATATTTTCAGAGCTTCTCTCTCAATATTGATTAGGTTGGTCGGACATATGGGCTAAGGGGGGAGGGATATGGCTCTATTTTGGCTTATACCTCAATGATAGCCAAAATATGGCCCTACCTTGTCCTTTTTGATGTCAAAACCCCCAAGTCAGCCCTTCCCTGCAAAAACCCTGCCCATTTGGACGCCCAAACCCATGCCTTGTCTCATATAATTTCGTGGGGTGGCCCCCACTCATGTGGGAGGTCATCCCTTTAAATTCCGACGTGTACGATCGGTCCCGAAAGTTGTATTTTCCGGACTGTTTTAAGTATATTTTATTTTATCGGGTCAAATAAAATATAACACTTGTTCCCAATCCTCATTGGACCTTAGAATCAATATGCATTCCCCAACTTTAATTTAGAAGTCTCCGGGATCCCTTTTTGGGCTGTTATCCGATAATTTGCCGATACCGATAATCTGGCCCCATTTGACCAACCGGTCATCTCTATGCCATTACCAGGCCCAATTAGGATATCCATCACCATATACATATTATCTAGTCCAAGATTAATATACTATGTGGTCCCGATAATATCGGGCGGCCCCACATCCGGTGTGGGCCCCACGTGAATTTTACTATTCACGTAATAGAAATGATAAAAATTTACAATCACGTAAAAAATGCTTTTATACATTTCTCAAGGTTCAATACATAATTTGGTACAGTACAAATACTCGGGGGCGGTGTTACAAGTTCTACCCCCCTTATTTGGGATTTCGTCCCCGAAATCCATGTGTCTAATCAAACAGAAATGGATATTGTTCCCTCATTAGGGTCTCCACTTCCCACGTTTGCTCCTCGACACGATCACTCTTCCAAAGTACCTTTACCATCGGCACCTCTTTGCTCCTTAGCTTCTTTACCTGTCGGTCTATGATCTTTACCGGCTGTACCGTATAATGTAGGTCCTCTCGGATTTCTACCGGTGGTTTCTCAAGAATATGTGACGGGTCCCGCACATACTTCTTGAGCATAGAAACATGAAATACATTATGAATCTTTTCTAACTCTGGAGTCAACTGAAGTCGGTAAGCTACAACCCCAATCCTTTCAAGGATTTTGAACGGGCCTATGTAACGTGGGTTAAGCTTACCCCGACTGAGGAACCTGATGATCCCTTTCCAAGGGGATACCCTCAGAAATACCTCGTCACCAACCTCAAACTCCAACGTCCTTCGACGTTTATCAGCATAGCTCTTCTGTCGGTCTTGGGCAGCCTTGAGCCTATCCTGTATGACCTTTATCTTCTCCTTAGTGATCTCGACTAACTCGGTGCCCTCAAGCTTAGCCTCGCCGACCTCGTCCCAACACAATGGTGTCCTGCATTTCCTCCCATACAATGCTTTGTATGGGGGCATGCCTATACTTGCCTGATAACTGTTGTTATAGGCGAATTCTACTAAAGCCAACTGATTGTCCCAGCTCCCCTGGAACTCCAAGGCACATGCTCTTAACATGTCCTCCAAGATCTGAATCACCCGTTCAGATTGCCCATCCGTTTGAGGATGAAACGCGGTGCTAAACCTCAATTTCGTACCCATGGATTCCTGGAACTTAGGCCAAAACCGTGATGTGAACCGTGGGTCCCTATCCGATATTATAGTAACCGGAACCCCATGCAGTCTCACAATCTCATCTGTGTACAATTTGGCCAACCGCTCGAGCGTATAAGTAGTGTTGATAGGTAGGAAATGAGCGCTCTTGGTCAGCCTATCGACTACCACCCATACCGCGTCGTAGTTCCTAACCGTCCGTGGTAGACCCACCACGAAGTCCATGGTAACATGCTCCCACTTCCATTCTGGAATGGTAAGTGGTTGTAGTAACCCTGCCGGGTGTTGGTGCTCTGCCTTAACCTGTTGACAAGTAAGGCAACGGCTCACGTATTCTGCAATTTCTCTCTTCATCCCCGACCACCAGTAGCTTTCCTTCAAGTCCCGGTACATCTTTGTACCGCCCGGGTGCATGGCATACGCAGATGAGTGAGCCTCCTCAAGGATAGATTTTCGGAGCTCCTCATCCGATGGTACACACACTCGTTCCTTGAATAGTAGAAGTCCATCTTCCCTCTCACGGAAACCCTCGACGGGCCCCTCAAGCATCCGTTCCCGGATTTTCTGAAATTCCTCGTCATTGCCTTGACGTGTTCTGATTTCATCTAGTAAGGTGGGTCTCACCTCAAATCTGGCCAATAGCGCCCCATCCGTGGATACCTCCACGCGTGCCCTCAGTGCCCGTAAGCATGTGAGTAAAACCCCTGATGATGAGCTCTTCCTGCTCAGTGCATCAGCTACAACATTAGCCTTGCCTGGATGATAGTCAATGATCAAGTTGTAATCCTTAATCAACTCCATCCATCTCCTCTGCCTCATGTTCAACTCTTTCTGAGTGAACACATACTTCAAGCTCTTGTGGTCGGTGTAAATGTGACACAACTCCCCGTAGAGGTAGTGCCTCCAAATCTTCAATGCAAATACCACAGCACCTAGCTCCAGATCATGTGTGGGGTAGTTTACTTCATGCTTCCTCAACTGCCGAGAAGCATAAGCAATTACCTTCCCTGATTGCATCAGTACACATCCCAGTCCCTGAATGCTAGCATCGCTGTAGATGTCATACCCTAACCCTTGCACGGGCAAGGCAAGCACTGGTGCTTCGGTCAAACGTTTCTTTAGCTCAAGAAACCCCTTCTCACACTTGTCATCCCACACAAACTTAGCCCCCTTTTTAGTGAGCTTCGTGAGTGGAGATGCTATCACCGAGAACCTTTCCACGAATTTGCGGTAATACCCCGCTAAACCGAGGAAACTCCTTATCTCCTTCACGTTCTTGGGCCTCTCCCAATTAGTGACCGCCTCAATCTTGGAGTTATCAACTGAAATGCCCGAGCCCGATACCACATGCCCGAGAAAACCGATCTCCCCAAGCCAAAATTCACATTTAGAGAATTTGGCAAAGAGTTGCTTCTCCCGCAGTGTTTCAAGCACAAGCCTTAGATGTTTTTCGTGTTCCTCTTCATTCATGGAGTATATCAAAATGTCATCAATGAACACTATGACGAACTGGTCTAAGTATTGGTGAAATACTCGGTTCATGAGGTCCATGAATGCCGCGGGGGCGTTCGTAAGCCCAAACGACATTACTAGAAACTCATAGTGACCATACCGCGTACGGAATGCACTTTTGGGTATGTCACTCTCCTTGATCTTCAGTTGATGGTAGCCTGACCTCAAGTCAATCTTAGAGAACACCGTTGCCCCCCGTAGTTGATCAAACAAGTCATCGATCCTTGGCAAAGGATATTTGTTCTTTATCGTGACCTTGTTCAACTGACGGTAGTCGATACACATTCTGAGTGTACCATCCTTCTTCTTTACAAATAGTACCGGTGCTCCCCATGGTGCATGACTCGGCCTGATGAATCCGCTGTCCAGCAATTCTTCCAATTGCACCTTCAATTCTTGAAGTTCAGCCGGTGCCATCCGATATGGAGGAATCGAGATGGGTTTTGTACCGGGTTCTACCTCAATGGTGAACTCAATTTCTCGATCTGGTGGGAGTCCCGGGAGTTCTTCAGGGAAAACTTCTGGGTACTCACTCACCACTCTCACCTCAGTGAGACTCTTCTCCTTGCCCTCCTTGCCTATGACATAGGCCAAGTATGTTTGACACCCTTTCCTCATCATACGTCTTGCTCTTATGGCCGATATGATACAAGGGTTGAATTTCCCTCTATCTCCCTCGAAGCATAGAGTGTTTCCTTCTCCATCCTTTAGTTCTAACACCTTGGTGTAGCAATCTACCTTCGCATGGTGTTTTTCGAGCCAATCCATGCCAAGTATAGCATCAAACTCGAGCATATCTAACGGCACAAGGTCACCCGTTAGACAGTGCCCCCCTATCCCTACGTTACACGAGGGATAGTAGTGTTTCCGCTCTACATCATCTCCCAATGGCGTAGAGACCAGCAAAGGTTGCATCATTGCTACCAAAGGCATGTTCAATCCCTTGGCAAACGCTTCGCTCACAAACGAACGTTGTGCCCCGGTATCGATGAGGATTCTCGCATCCCTATCGTTGATCTTTAGTGTTCCTACATATATAAGTCATGTAAGACACCCTATTCGTCATCCCGACAGAAAAGGACCGGACGAAAAAATTTCAGCCTAGAATTACCCTATACCCGGTCGGGTAGGGTCTTCTACCCGGTCGGGTATCACTCGAATTCTTAAAGGGAAACCCCCCTGTCTTCCTTGCTCGGTCGAGTACCAGCCTCGAATTCGGGCAAAATGTCAATACCCGGTCGGGTATATACCTATACCCGGTCGGGTATCACTCAAAATCCACAAATAAAAGCTCCCTGTCTTCTACGCTCGATCGAGTACACACTTCGAAGCTCAAAATATACACATACCCGGTCGGGTATATAGCCATACCCGATCGGGTATTGCTCGAAATGTCAAAAATAAGGCATCCTGCCTTGGCTGCCCGAACGGGTGCACACTTCAAACTCGAAGCATAGCTTATACCCGGTCGGGTCTATAGGAGTACCCGATCGGGTCCTTCATATTTTTGAAGATTTTACAGCCCATTACATGATCAAATACGTGTGAAATCAAGAGATTACCTGCAATGGAGTCCGGGTTGGCCCGAGCATCAGCCTCGGTCATTGCATACACCCGTGCTTGGGTCTTCCCTTGGTTAACGGACGCGGCGTTGCTAGCCGTGGGTCCGCTCCTTCCCGTGCCGGCCTGAGACGGCCCCGCACGTCCCCTACTAGTCGTAGGTCCTCCCATGGCTCCCGAGGGTCCTCCCCCGTTCAGCATTGGACAAAAGGATTTGAGGTGGCTCGTGCTACCGCATTTGTAACACCGGGGTGGTTCATTGCACTTCCCCGCATGATTCTTGCCGCAGTTTGCACACCTCGGTGACCATGTACTCCTTGGTTTGGCCCCTTGCCCTCCTGGACCTTTGTTCCTTTTCGCCGGTGGTGCCGGCGCCCTGAATGAACTGCCACCCCCAGCATGATGCTTCCGGGAGTGGTCTTGGGGTCCAGCGTTTCCCCATCTTCTTTTCTTCGCCTCCTCGGCGTCTCTCAACTTCCTCTCGTTCCATTGGGCTTCCCCAAGGAGCCCCTGATCAACGATTTGGCTAAATGTCATACTGTGATGGTAAGTAGCCCGGTCACGGATGTCCAACTGTAGAGCATCCCAAAAGTGATTGGCCATACGATTTTCATCCAATGAGTATTCTGGGATGAATCGTGCCAAGTCACGGAACCTTTGTTCCAATTGCCTCACCGAGCAACCATCCTCCTGTTTCAGGTTCGTGTACTCTCTTCTTTTGAGATTGACTTCAAAAGTTGAGTAGTACTGATTATAGAACTCCACTTCGAATTTCTCCCAAGCGGCTTCACCGTGGAATTTTCCCTCCACGCCTTCCCACCATACAGCGGCTACCCCTTCTAGTAACCTGGTGGCAACCCTCAACTTCACGTCGAGTGAAATTTGCATGTCCCTAGAAGCATCATTCAGCTTCTTAATCCAGTCGGCGGCCTCAGATATGTCGCCCTTGCCATCAAATGATTTGCACCCCAAGGCCCTGGCCTCCTTGAGGTACTTGGAGATACGCACCATCGTGTCTCCTCCAAATGCCCCCGATGGAGCACTAGAAGCACCTCGGCTTCCTTGCCCCATGGTCTGCCTAGCCTGTCTAGCTTGGCGCCGCTGTTCTCTCTTTGCCTTATTCTCGAGGTACCATTCTAGTACCTCACTCATACGGTCATAATGAGGATCATCATCCTCATCTTCTTCCTCAAAGTCCTCCCCGTTGTACGGGGTCTCCTCTTGCTCCGTGCTTGGAGCATAGGTGAAGTCGTCCGGTTCGGTGGCCCATGACGGGTGCACGGAACCGACGCGTGTGCTACTTGTCGTCGGCGTGGTAGAACGCCCACGACCCCTGCCTCGGCCCCCTCCTCGGATTTGGCCCCGGCCTCTACCCCTAGAGGTCCGTGATTCCGCCCGAGTGGCATGCCCGGTGGCCCCCTGCACATGCCCTGTCGGGTTCCTCCTAGTTATCCTGCGTCCACCCTCCATTTCTGAAAGAAATAAGGAATGAGTCATTAGACTCGTTTCAATGTCAATTGACGGATTAGTACAAAAGACACCCCTTGGTCCAACATTATGACCAACAAACTGTTAAGGGTACCGTCTTAACAATAAGAGGTCAATAACTTGGTTTCCAACGGTTCCTTAAGTACAAAAACTGTTGCTCATGGTTTTATTCAAAACTTTTTGAGGATAACCATATTGAGAGGTTAATTATATAGTTTAGAAATCGATGGCTCTGATACCACTTAATTGTCACGCCCCGGACCGCATCCGAGCCACGTAGACAACCGCCGTACAACCCGATAAGAACAACAACAGTTCATCCCTATTGAGTTGTACAAGGCGTCCGATTTATTCTATTGCCAAACCGATTAGTAAACACATACAATCAACATCAATATCATAAACAATCAAATGCGGAAAATAATAAAATGTTTGATACTTAGCCACACGTGGCAAACACGGGCACGCAGGCCCCCAACTATTTTAATGAAAATATTGTTCAAAAATCCATGAGCGGTTTATACATTTGAAATAAGAATGGAAGCACGAACCACGTCTTCCTTCTCGATCAGTCACCCTAGGCAAAGGTGCAGGTAGTAGGACTCTAGCCTCAACCTGAAAAATGTGAGGCCCCCCGGAGGGGTCAGTACTCCATAGAAGTACTAGTGACAAGCAGACTATATGAAGAATAACTAATGTTTCAGACACGAGACCCAAAAATAGGGTGATATATACATATAGATGTCCCTCATCCACCCGATGATACATACTGTATATATACTCGTAAAATACTCAACCCGTAGGTCATTTACCTTAAAGAGTCTTTTAGAGATAAAGTTCTTGCCTGACTTTTCTCACTCCTTTCCCGGTTACCTAGCTCACAAGCTATAGTCTACCTTCGATTCATACTACCGAGTGTTTTAGGATCATTTACCGTCCAAGGCACTCAACCCATCCTGGAGTATTTAAGATCATTTACCGTCCAAGGGTACTCGGCCCCACCTGGAGTATTCTGGATCATTTACCGTCCAAGGGTACTCGACCCCACCTGGAGTATTCTGGATCATTTACCGTCCAAGGGTACTCGACCCCACCTGGAGTATTCTGGATCATTTACCGTCCAAGGGTACTCGACCCCACCTGGAGTATTCTGGATCATTTACCGTCCAAGGGCACTCAATCCCCAGTCTATTCTCTACCAAATCCTAACCTGGATATGGCTAACCTTTCATTCCTTTAACTATGGACAATTCCTAGCCCTATAGTCATATAACAATCCTTAGGATCCAACGTGGGCGGGTCCCACCCGAACGGCCCACATTAACCCGCTCAAAACTGCCCGTTTTGAGCATAACCCAATACTCGATCGAGTATTAACCCATACTCGGTCGAGTACAGGAGACAGTAGCCCACAAAGCTGATTTTCAACAAATACCCGGTCGGGTATGTGTCAATACCCGATCGGGTATGGCAGTTGACTTGGCGGTCAACGCCCCTTTTGACCCCCCAAACGGAGTCCGATTAACTTGAAATTTTATACACATATACTTCTGGATGTCCTTGATCCAAAAATACCATTTTGGATCCCTGGATCATCACACAAAATATGTTATCACATTTTTAATCACCAAACCTACATAACATGCTTTTTAACTATGTTTTGTGTATAATCATAGCATAAACACACACTTGGTTATCTTTAATCATCCCACAAAACATATTCCTGATTACTTTAGGTAATCTCATGCCTCACGCAAAAGTTATAAAGCATAAAGCCGTCTTCTCACCTTAATGAAGCTTATGAAGTTCTAGCCTCCCCGATTTAGCTCCGACGAAACTCCGGCGAACTTCAACGAACTCCGGCGACAACTCCGGCGACCTTTTTAACTCCGTGAAAGTTCCTCGAATACCTTAGACAAGTTACTAACAAGTTTTTATCATCATAAAACCCATAGTAATACAAATAACCTCCAAAAGGTTATTTTCCGGCGAACCGGTCACTTTGGCTTCTAAGTCCGTTCTTGGGCTTAGAACCACCTTCCAACCCCTCTTTCTACACATCTAAAAGTGTAGAACAATACTAGGGGTCCTTCATGTGATATATTGGTCATATGGTATATAAGAAGTTAAGGAAAAGTTGTTACAAGGTTATTACCTTGATTCTTCACACTTTCCCTAGCTTTTCCTTTCTTTAATCCTCCTTGGACTTCCTTTTCTTCCTTCTTGAGCTTGGTTCGAATGGAAATGGGGAAAATGAATATTTGCAGAGCTTCTCTCTCAATATTGATTAGGTTGGTCGGACATATGGGCTAAGGGGGGAGGGATATGGCTCTATTTTGGCTTATACCTCAATGATAGCCAAAATATGGCCCTACCTTGTCCTTTTTGATGTCAAAACCCCCAAGTCAGCCCTTCCCTGCAAAAACCCTGCCCATTTGGACGCCCAAACCCATGCCTTGTCTCATATAATTTCGTGGGGTGGCCCCCACTCATGTGGGAGGTCATCCCTTTAAATCCCGACGTGTACGATCGGTCCCGAAAGTTGTATTTTCCGGACTGTTTTAAGTATATTTTATTTTATCGGGTCAAATAAAATATAACACTTGTTCCCAATCCTCATTGGACCTTAGAATCAATATGCATTCCCCAACTTTAATTTAGAAGTCTCCGGGATCCCTTTTTGGGCTGTTATCCGATAATTTGCCGATACCGATAATCTGGCCCCATTTGACCAACCGGTCATCTCTATGCCATTACCAGGCCCAATTAGGATATCCATCACCATATACATATTATCTAGTCCAAGATTAATATACTATGTGGTCCCGATAATATCGGGCGGCCCCACATCCGGTGTGGGCCCCACGTGAATTTTACTATTCACGTAATAGAAATGATAAAAATTTACAATCACGTAAAAAATGCTTTTATACATTTCTCAAGGTTCAATACATAATTTGGTACAGTACAAATACTCGGGGGCGGTGTTACATAACATGCTTTTTAACTATGTTTTGTGGGATGATTAAAGATAACCAAGTGTGTGTTTATGCTATGATTATACACAAAACATAGTTAAAAAGCATGTTATGTAGGTTTGGTGATTAAAAATGTGATAACATATTTTGTGTGATGGTCCAGGGATCCAAAATGGTATTTTTGGATCAAGGACATCCAGAAGTATATGTGTATAAAATTTCAAGTTAATCGGACTCCGTTTGGGGGGTCAAAAGGGGCGTTGACCGCCAAGTCAACTGCCATACCCGATCGGGTATTGACACATACCCGACCGGGTATTTGTTGAAAATCAGCTTTGTGGACTACTGTTTCCTGTACTCGACCGAGTATGGGTTAATACTCGATCGAGTATTGGGTTATGCTCAAAACGGGCAGTTTTGAGCGAGTTAATGTGGGCCGTTCGGGTTAATGCTCAAAACGGGCAGTTAATGTGGGCAGTTTTGAGCGGGTTAAAAACAAAGATTTTTAAAACAGGAGTGCAAAGTCTTGAACAATAACCATGACGCAATAACCATGGGCAATAACCATACCAAACTCAAATAGATGACGCATGTTGGGTAAGACGGAAAACCAAAAAAACACGATCTTTCAATTTTCAGTTGGCATCCCTTTCAACAATGAAACATCTGATGAGCAAAGTCGCGCTTTATTTGTGCGCATTTTTGGTAGTTGCAGACCATAAACATTGGCTTTCAAGGGCAAATGAAAGTCAGAATAATCTGCTCGCTAAATATTCGATCGGGACACCTTATCACTTTTCAATCCCTTCTCCGATGAGCCAAAAGTAACCATCTTTTCTTCTTCTTTAAATGGATGTAAAAATTTGAATTTGAAAAACAGATTAACCCTTCTTCTCAATCCTCATCCATGATCAGATCCCGCATTTTTCTTGCACAAACCCATCATCAATCCAGCTCCATATGTATCGATTTTCCTGAATCGGGTAGCCCTAACATTGATACACACAGTTACCCTAAAGCATGTTAAATAGCCATTGCAGTTGCAGTTGTAGTTGCTGTATTAACGACGACCATCCCAACCACCACCATCACCACCACAAGTTTCTTCCCAAACGCATTATCTTAGTCCGCCACGGCGAGAGCCAAGGCAACAAGGACGACGCGGCGTACACCGTGATCCCCGATCACAAGATCCCCCTCACCTCTCAGGGATTCGAGCAGGCCGAGCTCGCCGGGTGGCGCATTAGGGACGTCATTTCCGATCAAGAGTCCTCGCGTTCCTGGAAAATCTACTTCTATGTCTCCCCTTACGAGCGCACCCGCTCTACTCTCCGCGAGATCGGCCGTGCGTTTCCTCGGAAACGGGTCATTGGGGTCAGGGAGGAATGCCGGATCAGGGAACAGGATTTCGGGAACTTCCAGGTTGCTGATCGGATGAGGGCTTCCAAGGAAAACCGTGAGAAGTTCGGCCGATTTTTCTTCCGCTTCCCTGAAGGAGAATCCGCTGCAGATGTTTTTGATCGGGTTTCAAGTAAGTTCTTTTTGTCGTCAGATTTTCTTTTGTTTTCCAGATTTTCCACGGTTTTGGTCGCCGATGATTATATGCGGCTTTTCTTCTCGTTATTTCCTGATAAAATGCAGTATTTTGTTGAAAAACATTAAATGTAAAGTACATCACTCTTAGCCCTAGTTTTTGCTTGACACTGCATCATCATTGTTTTATTGAAGTTGCAATATGAAACACACTAATATAGGCAGTTCGTTTGGGTTTCATCAGCCTTATATAGCAATGTCCTGAAATCATAGTGGGTTAGTGCATTGACTCTTATTCTTCAAACCTAAATAATGGAATGAGAATGAGATCAATTGTTTGTGTGAGCGGACTTTCCATTTAAACATGACCTACCTACTGATTGTATTGATTATTCGTATACAGAATTATTGAACACATAAATTTGGTTCAGGAATTGTTCATTTACATTTGAAAGTTGCAGCTGTGTCTATCTAATTGAAGCTGAGTATTTGATAAATGTTGCTAAGTGTTGATTTGATATCTAGGAGTAAGTTTATAAATTTCCTAGTCCTTAACACTTATATAAAAAAATGTGAATGCAGAAAATGTTCATTTTCATTTCATTTTCATTTACCCCAGTGCCGCAAAGGCTCCCACCTACGGTGGGGTAAGGGGGGTCGGATGTACGCAGTCTTACCCCTGTACTAAAGCACAAAGAGAATGTTTCCGAATGACCCATATGAATGCAGAAAATGTTCTGGCTTTATAAATATTGAAACATTGTCTTTCGTGAAGTTAAATTATCTGGTCATGAACTGTGTACTAGTGTATGTAACTGAAAAGTCTGAATAGATAGAAACTGGGAAAAGGGTGGAAAGGAACTATCTTTTGCATCATCGTGGAGAGTTTAATTCTTTTTCTGCATGTCTAGAAATGCTTCTAAGTTGTTGACATGTTCTCAGTTTAAAATATGTTTCATACTCCCTTTGCATGGCCGTATGTATGTGCACATATAATGTTATAGACAATTTTTAGAATTTAAAGTTGTACACCCTGTTGTAACTGGAAATGTGGTATGGAAAATTATGTTATTGGAGGTTAGTGCTCCTTTGTGCATGCTCTTAAAGCAGATTCCTTTCAAAAAGTGAATTATAAGTTTATGATTGCTATTATTTTCGTAGTTTTGAATTTATGTTAGTTATTCTTGACTCACTACTCTAATATTTTCATTTGTCTTTGCATTTTTTATTTATTAAACACAACCTTCAATTATTTTAAATGATTCGAGTTGTTTATTAAATGAAGGGCACTCCCTCCAAAAAATGAAATATGATTCTGTCACTTTGTCTCCCCATTCTCGAATTTCAATTGTCACTTAACCCTCTATTAGTTTGTACCGTCAGCAATTGTGATAAGCATGATCTGAAGTTGTTGGTACTTGGTAATGATCAACAATTCAACATCATTATTAACCTTTTTACAGTGATTGCAATTTGCAATTAAAGTATTTGAGCTCTTGATGACCATTAAATGTATAGGAAACATGTTGGTATTTGTGCTTTTAGAAGTATGTTTAATGTTGCTAGTAATGTCATGATGAACCTGATACTGTGGGCATTAGTTGCATGCTGGTACTTTTCACATTGAAATTCATAAAATAGTGCTTTTTAGACATGGAACTTCTTTATGAGGTCCAATGTTGTTTCTTTTCTGATTTACTCTCCACTCTGTGTTGGTACCTGATTTTTTGAAATTTAGATTTCTAGCTATAGACAACTCTGCACTGTCTACACGTTTCTGCTTCTTTACTCAACAGTTGTGTAAAACAGGCATCACAGTTTTTTTTCACTCAGAGAACAGATTATGATGTTTCAAGATCACAAAAATTTAATGTACATGGCTAAGCTACACATTAATCCTCAATAATGTGTAATGTGTATATTCATCTCAGATTCTGAAAGGACAAATAGACATATATTTTGATCTGGGCAAGCAGCGACAACTTACATTTCTGTGTTTTTGTCATTGAAGCTATAATTCCTACTCTGTGTTTTTCTTGACCCTTGAGGACAACACGTAATATCGTGATTTGGTGTTTGATATAAAGCTCTCTTTGACTACAATACCTTGCAGTTTACATTATCCATCCACATCATTTAGTCTTTTCTTTTACCTTTACCAAAGCATGAGATATCTTCGGATCTACCCTCTCACCACCTTATTCCTACGTATTTCTTGGATTCCACTGGATACTGCAAGTTGGGTCATTTGGATCATGCCTACTTACATGTCTAATTACATGTAGATATTTACATGTCTTCATATATACCCCATAAACGTGTATATGCACCTTTTCAAATAAAATTACAGTAATGATTAACGAATCTAAATACTTGATATGCCACCATTGATTCTCCTCTGTAATTTGTGTTTTCTGTGGAGTGTTTGTTGAGAACATAATGCCTTTTTCCTTCCAAAAACACTAGAGAATAATAGGAGGGGGGGGGGGGGGGGGGGGGGGGTCCTCCAGTGTTACAGACAAGATCTTTGTGAATAAAATGTGATTAGTCTTTAATTTCCAAATAATAAGCTATATATGTCACATTCAGCATATCACTACTGCTGTGCGCCTGTGCCACACCATCAACGAATGCCCCATGTCAATGATGTTGTTTGCGTTATTTTTCCCAACATATTTTTCCGGTGAATTTTGCAATGTAGTTTCAGTGGCCTCCTGGGACAGTGAGATTTGGTGGGGGGAAGTGAAAAATAGCGTTTGAGATAATTTAGTGTTATTCTGGTCATTCTTTGACAAATTAGAAGTGGTCTTAATATTCTCTAGTAAAGTTAAGGATTTTATTTTTGTTATTCTTCATAACAATAATAATAAAAAATTGTACTGGTGACATGCAGGTTTCCTGGAATCTCTATGGAGAGACATTGACATGAACAGACTTCACCAAGGACCGGGTGATGATTTGAATCTGATAATCATATCGCATGGGCTGGCAATTCGGGTCTTCCTAATGAAATGGTTCAAGTGGACGGTGAAGCAATTTGAGCGGTTAGGTAACCTTGGTAATTGTGAGTTTCGGGTGATGCAGCTTGGGATGGGAGGAGAATACAGTCTAGCAGTTCATCACTCCGACGAAGAAATGCAGTCTTGGGGGCTTTGTTCTGATATGATAGAAGACCAAAAATGGAGAGCTAGTGCCACCAGGGGTGATTGGAATGAAAGATGTCCCTGGTACCTTGATGCTTTTTTCGACACTTTTGCTGATTCTGAAGATGAAAATGATGATGACGTTGAGATCGAAACTGATGAATGCAGCCTACAGAACACTTCTTGTGATTCTTCTTGATTCATACATAAAGAAGTGCTAGTGTGCTACTTACCTCACTTCACCTCTGGGTACTACATTTATGGAGGTTTCTCTGATTATAGATGATGATGATGGTGGTGGTAGCGTTTCTTGTAAAGTTAGGTGTAGCTAACTTTTGTAATTACTAGTTACTAATTAATTCTTGGGAAATTATACGCTTTGGGTCCCTCAATTGTTCATTCATTCATTATTACCAAATGTTGATACATAATTTACATGTTAAGTGTACGATCAAAATGGTCCTTTATTCATGAATGGGTCAACGAAGCTTCTTTTTGAAAGCCCAGCAAAAATTAAATACCAATTATTTTAAGTGACTGAAGACTTGGTTGATAATGAAAAAGTAGGAATAAAGGCAATTTTTAGGTGAGTCTCTGAAGATTACCATTAGTCTTTCCTATCTGATTGTTACACGATTTAATAGAATAAAATTAAATTGAGTCTCTGAAGATTACCATTAGTCTTTCCTCTCTGATTGTTACGCGTTCTAATAGAATAAAATTGTGTGGTGTAATTTCTTTTGAAAAGATAGATAATTTCAATCACATAAATTTTGTGGGAGAAGAATTTGTGGAGTAAAGGCTGTAAAGCAAAAAAAAAAAATTGTACTCCCTCATATTCTAAAAGAAACTAACACTTTCCTTTTTGAGATGTTTCAAAAACAAAGGAACACTTCCCTTATTTCCTTATTTGGCAAAGAAATCTACATCCAAACAGTGCGAAACAGTGTTCACACAATGCCAAACAATGTCTAAACATCGTTTTCTACAATAAAGTCAATTTATTTCCTTAATAATCGTGAAGTCAAACCGTGACTTTCTTCTGGAAACGGATGGAGTATTTTATAGACGGAATGGGTGTAATTGTGTAAATAAATAATGAAGGGAATAGATAAGAGGAATACTTATTCTACGGCTATGGATACATTTTAAGGAGATTTTTTTGATGGATCACAGTAGTAATTTTTATAAGTCGGAAGAATTTTTTAAATTGATAGAATTTTTTACTTCTGTTCTATTTAAATTTGGTATGTAATGGTGTAATCATAGATGTTTATTACAACTGTTGAATCTGATCTGATTCGGTCTACTCTAATTATGTTAGATATGTTAAAATTTGATTTCATCTGACTTGATTTGTGACTCAAACCACTCTAATTAAAAGAATCCCAAGAAGGAAATAATACAAAACCCTTTCATGTATCTGGAGATGATATGGTTCTTTCTTCTTTGGAAGAACTTTTAAAGTGTGAATGGAGATGATATGGTTCTTTGGAAGAACTTTTAAAGTGTGAATGGAGAATGTATTTAAATGATACTCCCTCCGTCCCGTTGGAATGTTCCCGCTTTCCTTTTTTAGATGTCCGTTGGAAAGTTCCCATTTTCCTAAATGGAAAGTTATCCTACATCAAAACAGGGTCAAACAGTGCAAAATTGTGTCAAACAGTGTCGAAACAGTGCCAAACAGTATCGAAATAGTGTCAAAACAGTAAAATTTACCCCTGGTAAGTTTATTTCTTTAATATGTGTGTAGGTCAAATCGGGAACATTACAACGAGACGGAGGGAGTATGTGGAAATATATATTTTGTGTGAATTAGGTAACACAATTTTATTGTTTTTAACAATTGAAGAGTCTAAATTTGTTTGATTTGATTAGGTCCGTTTAAATTTAGTCTCGTACAAACAACAATCAATCCAATTAAAAAACATATTAAATCATCGAGAGTTTTAATAGCGATGTGCATTTTAATGGTTGGTTCACTCTTTTGATATTATAATATAAATAAATAAATAAATTGATTGATTTTACGGTATTAGCCCTTAGTAGGAGTAAAATAAGCCCAAAATTCAACAATAGGAGTACAATCATTTTATTCCCAAAATATGACTAATATATGTCTTTTCTTCCCATTCTACCCCCTTCCTATCATTTCCGATAGATTTATTTTATTAATAATAAAATCATAGTTTTATTTATAATAAAAATATAAAAAATAATAAAAATATTTATAAAATAATAATGAAAACGTGAAAAAATAAAATAAAAATAAAAAAATTAAAAATAAAAAAAATTATTTAAAAATTTTCAAAAAAGTCCAAAAAATAAAATAAAATACCTAAAAAATATTTAAAAAATATGTAGGTCACTGCCAACGCGTCATCTACCTCCCAGCACCACCGACTCCGGTCGCCGGAAAAAATGTTATCTTGTGTAAAAAATGCTACATTTCTCTGAAAATACCATAAAGATGGCCTTTTTACTCTTTGAAAATATCCAACTTTCTCTTGCTTTCTCTTCAAAATTTCCATCATGATGCCATTTTTTCCCCAACTTGGCAATCTAACTGTGACCGGATGTGGCGGTGATGGAAGGTGGCTGAGGTGGTGGTTGGAGTCTATTTATTTTTTAATTTTTTTTACGAATTTTATTTTTTATTTTGATTTTTTTTATAATTTATAATGATTGTTTTAAAATCCTATTATCAAGGACAAAGGAAATGGTAGAATAGGAAGAGTTAGTCCTATTTTGGGAATTTAAACTTTAAATTCCTATTGTTGCAATTATCCTTTTATTTACTCATATTTAGGTAAATCTCCCTTGATTTTATTGAACTATTTAATTACATCTTAAAAATTATTTATATGAGTCGTTTCCGAAAAGTACTATTTTTTGTGCTTTCTAATATTAGTACTCCCTCTTTAAAATTATTTATATGAGTCGTTTCCGAAAAGTACTTTTTTTTGTGCTTTCTAAGACGTTTTACTTTTTCGGGAAATCCCACTAAGATTGTCTCATATCAAATTTGGTAAATTTCGTGTGGCTCTAAATCATTTTTTACTTTATTTTTTCTTTATCAATTCAATTTCAACCACATAGATTCACTTTTCTTAATAATCGTGTCAACTCCTTCCGTCCCAATGTTAGTGGGACGGAGGTAGTATACTACGGTACAAGCTCTTTATTAAAAGTTAACATTTTTTGAACTTGATACGTGATTCAAATTCATGATCTCCTCATCAGAGCATCCACTATGGGGAGGTCATTGGGGATCAAAAAAAGAAACTGATCTCACTTGATCCTCACTATGGGAGCTCATGAATCGATCAATCAAAATGCAAGGTTGAGAATGAGAGCTCACAACTTAATTTTGATTAACCAATTATAGAAAGTCAAGTGACATTTTACTTTGAACAAACCCTATCAACTACTTCCACCTCTCTAATTTCATTTACTATGCATTAAATTTAAGTTATTGTAAAAAAAATTATATAAAAAATTCATTTTTTGCCTCTATACATAGACACGAGACACCAATGAAGGATATGTTTAGTTACTTCGAAATTTACCATTTCTTTCGCTCGTGCATCTTATTTTATCTGTTTTAGAACATTTATTTCTCTGAATCAAGGGTGTAACAAATATTTTTAAATATGCTTATTTTTATTTTTCCACAATGAGTAATTATAGTGGGTCAAATGTGGATTTTATACGGAGTATTCCTTTTTCAAATTAAATAACTAATAATGATGGAATATATCAAAAATAAGGAGAAAGAGAGTGTACAAATTTTAAGTGACCTAGGCCACCATAGTGGGGAGAAAATGAGATATGTTAGAGGTGATTAAGTTCTGGAAGATAAATGGTGTGGAATAGAGAGAAGGGAGTCACATGTCATTAGCATTGTGGATGCTCTTAGAGTCTCACACAGACAACGAGCTATTTTAAATCGATCCAGGACCTGAAAAATAGATAAATTACTAATCCGAGACCTGAAAGATGAATTGTATCGATACAGGACCCGACTGATAGAAAACTATCAATTTAGGACCCAGATGATTGAAAACCGTCAAATTAGGACCTAAGTTGTCATGATTTTTATTATATTTTTTACTTTAAAATTTTTAAATATTATTTATTTCTATTAAACTAATAAACTTTTGTGAAGAAAAGTTTATCAAAAATTTGTGAAGAACTAATAAAATTTTATAAAATGTTAGGTCCTAGATTGATAGTTTTCCATCATTCGGGTCCTATATTGACACATTCCATCTTTCGAACTCCGAATTAATAATTCGTCTATCTTTCAGGTCTTAAATTGATAAAATTCCTAAAAAGTAATATGAAAAACATTTCAAAAACTTCTAATTACTTAAACAAATAAACAAAAAAACACTCCTGGCCATTACTTTTTACTAGTATCATTTTAAACACATTGATATGGGAAATTGATGAATATTTTTTGGTAAAATATGGGACCGCATAATTGAGAAGTGCCAGAGTTCTTGGTTGAACCCTTCCAAATAGAGACACAAACATAAAAAACATCAACCACTTAATCGTTTTGATGATATGATTAATGATGTTTGAAAGGTCAAATGCCATCACAGTACCACATTTACTTATGTTTTTGTTACGGGGTATTTATAATTTAAAATTTTAAATTTTATTTTAATTCTTAATTTCCTTGAGAATCATAAGTATTATAGACTTCTTCCTCACTCCACAGCAAAGAGCCAGCAATAAACCCTCCTTTTCTCTCGCTCCACGCCGGTTTTCTCTCTCTATACTACAACTGCTTTGTATCAGCACATTCAATCCATAAAATTCGCCTCCACATTTCGGGATCTGGGTCGTCTTTATTACGAAGTATTCTCTAAATACCCGAACAAGGCATAATTTGCTCATTCTTCTTTCTTTTTCTGAATCTTGACAAGCCACCCAGTCCTGCGTTTCTAGGATTGTGAGCCATTAAGACTTCGATTTAGACATGGCCTCCTCACTAATCTGATCTTGGAGACGAATTAGTCGTGTATGAATAACGCATACCCATACTGCATTTTTTGTGGCGTGTATTAAGTGTTCTAATCACATTTGGAATCCTCAAATGATTGAGTTTGATGACAAGACGACAGTAAAGTTCTGATCTTTTTATTCAGGTATTGTCATCTGAACTTTGTTTTCTATGGGATTTTAAGAATAGTAATGGTAATGATAGCTTTTTATGTTTCTTGGCTTGTAATGCTATTTGAATCTAGCATCTTTGTTCTCTTTTTCTTTTTACTGATTTCTCTCTTTCCTCCTCTTCTTCTTCGTGTTTTATTAGTATTAGATATATGATTTGCCTTTGGAATTTCAGGAGAAACTTTCCCATGGCTCATCCATCAGACCAGAGGTTGTGCAGCCAAGGGGCAGTGAGATGCGTGGTGATATTTGTTTGCTTGTTTCTGGTTCTTTACATGGTAAGGCCATCAGTCCTCAGGAGATCCAAATTGAGGTCAAGTGGTCTAGATTCATGCCCCCCTTGTTCCTGCGACTGTGAAGAAGATTCCATGTTGCCCTTGCCTTTAGGTGCGTCTGTAATAACTTTTCTCTCTTTTTTAGTCCCTTTGATGTGTACACTCTAGTCTCAGAAGTTTTGTAATTTTTTATTGTTACTTTTTAAATTGCTATTTGGGATAAATGATACTGCTGAATTACAATTGACAGTGTCTGACTGCCTGCTATTTGGATTATATTTTTATTGTTTTTTCTCCTCCAAAATTCAAACACACTGAATGGCTGTGTGTTTGGATTAAGGAGGGATGTCACAGTAAAGAAGAACATAAGTTTGGTAAAACAGAGAAAAGAAAGGAATTATATAGTATTACCACCATCATCCCACTGTGTTTGGGACAAGAAAAGGTAACATGTTTATTTAGGAAAGTGAAGTAATATGGTTGATATTGTATTTGTAAGTTTTGAATGAATTTTGAATCGCACAAGTATTATTATTACCAAATGTGATACGGGACAAGCATTGTGGGATGGATGAAAAAGGAAAGATTGCACAAAAGTAGTGGGAAGGGGGAGGAGTACATTTTTCTCTTCTTTTGCATTAACAGTGGAAACGGGTGGGAAATAATAATTAAAATCATTTTTTCCGATTAAATTCATTCCTGTCTTAAGGCTTGGATGTTGTTGAAATTCATTCCTGTCTTTCCTCTTATATAATCATTTGGAGTGATGACTTTTGAGAGGAATGAGAAGGTCGATGCATGAAGACTTCATTCATCTCAAATTCTCAATCGAACAAACTCGCTGTATATGTTTCCCTTATTTGCAATTTTTCATTTACCATTTTGGTTTTGAGATGTGTTGTGAGTTTAACCATCATAGTTCAGAAGTATATTCCACTACAGTGTTTTCGTTGAACTGCTAGAAACCATGCACATTAAACTTCCCCTCATTTACTCTCGGAAATAAAGACAACAATTATGTTCCCTATTACCACTCCCTCCCCTCAATTAAAAGACACAGTTAGGGAGAGTATATCACACACATAAACACATTAAACTTCCACTCATTTACCCTGGGAAATAAAGACAACAATAATGATCCCTAGTACCACTCCTTCCCCTCAATTGAATCACAGTTACGGAGTTAGTATATGAAGTCCATAAGGAAATGAAAACCCGTGTATATAGACAGTACACACCAGTCACACCACTTACGCAATTTATGTGGAACAAATTAGATAGCATGAAGCCATGACCAGTAGCTCAGTAATTTTTCAAAGCGGGACCTTCAAATAAAAGACAGGTGCAATGCTATCATTTTTACTCTTGAGTCTAGGTGGCATCTGTACTAAATTGTGGAAGAGGTGTGTTAGGGTGGGGCGATACCCTATTTTGGGCTTCAATGATATAGCCATGATCCCCAAAATTTTGGCATGTGTCGAGAACAAAATTTATTCATATAATTTTTGCACAGAAAATTATACACAAAAGTTTTCTGCCATTAACAGTTGCAAAATGATAATGTTTGTTAATTTATACATACTCCGTAGTATATTTTGGGGTAACTGTGTTTTTTAGGAAAGGTGCCGTGCTTATTTAGTTGTTTTTATGTGCCCTTGATCCATCTGTCCATCTGATTATTTATTTGTTTTTTTTGTTTTGATTGCTCTTTTTTTGCATCCACATTTCTGTTGCTAACAATACCTTTTTATGTGTTTTATTTTGCAGATTTTCTGAATGGTTCGATTGCAGGTTGGTGTATATGCTTTCTTACTCTTGAATTAGGCATTGAATTGCTTATGGAAACTTTTACTTCCTTCATTCCAAAATGAACTTCACTTTTACTCTTCTTGGTCAAAACAATTTCCTTCCCCCCCCCCCCCCCCCCCCCCCCCTTGAGTAGGAATTTGTTATCATTTTTAAATTTGGTTTTTGCTATTCAATGTAACTTCTAGTCTAGATTCTAAATATATAAATTGTACGGAGTAATTACTAACACCTACTTAAAAATCATCCAAGAAGAGTTAACTATATACGAGTACATTTATTCTTAGTCAACCTCCTTTACTGTTCTTTGCACATCAATTTGGGATGGAAGGAATAGGGAGGAAGTTATTATGTATCTTTGTACACACCATCAAAATCACTTTCCTTCCTGAAAAGTGGATCCCACATAAAATCAGCAATTTTGGCTTATGCATACGAAACAGATATTGATGGTGTACGAAGTAATCGGGAAAGTGAAGTGATTATTTGCTTCCAGCAAGGATAAATACCATCACACTATTATTTTTCTTAATGTGCAGATTGTGCTAAAGACAATCCTGAAATGAATGAGGAAATGAAAAAGGACATCATCACCCTACTATCAGAAGAGATTAACTTGTTGAAGAATGTGACGAGTGACAGCTTGGAACACACGAACACGCTAATTACAGGTGCCAAAAGAGCATCTTCTCACTACCAAAGAGAAGCGGAGAAATGCAATGCAGGGATGGAAACGTGTGAAGAAGCTAGAGAAAGGGCCCAAGCGGCTCTAATAGAAGAGCGCAAGCTCTCTGAACTGTGGGAGACTCGAGCCAGGGAATTCGGATGGAAAGATGAGTGAAGTGCCTTGCTGCTATTCATGGAATTTTACCCTTTTTTTGAAAAATTTTTCCTTTTAGTTTAGAATTTTAATTTCACGTGAACTAGTAGCAGTAACCCATTTTTGTGAATATACGGTGTTGAGTTTTTTTTTAGGTCAGGCTTCAAATCAAGTTTATTTTAACATCCTTTGATTGTTATTCCATTAAAATAGAAATTTATTCTGTAGGGGTTTCCCTGTGGTCGATAATTCTATATTATTATTATTATACATTACCAGTGGGATATGATATCTCAATATTGTGAGATGATGATATGTATAATATCCGAGAACGTTTCAAGTAATCCAGTTCACTTCCGCTATCACCTATTCCAGTTCACTTATCTTTGGTAGAATCATTATTTATGGTGTTCCTAGTTACTATCACCTATTAGATTCATTTATTTTATATTTAGTCAGTGAGATTAGCTCTTCAACAACCACTATTATACCACTATTATTTAATGTATGTCAAGAAACTGACCAACCAAATGTAACCAGTAAAAAGAGAACATAGGTGCAAGGGGATTCAAAACCCAGTGTAATTATTCTGTTGAGCCAAACATTGATAGACCGGAGTACATAAAGGTGCCACATTTCATAACCCAGAGGGTACAGAATATATCAAACCAAGTATATACTGTCTAAAACTGCGAAGCCTGAAGCGACCCCACCCTCATTTGAAGAAGAGACCTTTGTTCTCATCAGGTAACCGGATTGCTCGTTTATTATTACCTTTGTTTTATTCCTGCACAATTATCCCAGAGGTAATTATGGGAACCAAAATGCTGCATCAGAAAAATATGAACAATATACTGTGTGGGCATGTCGGTTTGGTATCTCATAATTTCTGCTATTCACTGTTAATTGTATTGATTTAAGAGCTGGGGAGCTTCAGGAGAAATTAGAGACCTACTATCTGTTATATATATACCTTAAATAAGCACCATATATACCAAGTTCTGATACCACTTGCTCTTTGTGAGGGATACCATCTCGCATTAGGATTGCTTTAGACAAAGTAGGAAAAATTCTCTGCATGAGGATGTAAGCTGCCTCATTTCCACTCCCTTCCTTCTGCAACTTCTGAAGACTTTCTTTTACATCATCACCATAAATATTGTTTCCTGAAGTGTGATACATATATACATATAGCATATGGCGTGTTAGCAAGATGATTCTACTAGTAGTAGTAGTACTGTAGTAGTAGTAATGATTGAAGTATAATAACAACCTCCGCCTTCTCGTTGAGGTTTCATAACATATAATTCAGGCCTTTGAATTGCATCCTTTATCACATCAGACTCATCAAGGCTCCACAAGCCTGCAAAGCATTTCCGTAATTTCGAAATGTCGTCTTCACTGTCAAGAAACCTACTCCAAAACCAAGGAGAAAGTGGGGGAGTCAATTTAGAATAGTATTTTCAGACTGAATGAGTGAATGTTATTGACTCCGGCCTTTTACATTTAGTTGCACCTATAGGGTTTTCATGGAATCTATGAGCAAAATTGTAGGACTAGTGAATAGTGTAGAAATAGTAGTAAATATAAGATCAAAGACAAGGCTATTTCTGTTTGTTTTTATATGATGGTAGTTGCCAAAAACGGAAAGTCAAGTGAGTAATAATAAACTTCCATAAAAGGAAAGTGGATAAACTAAAAGTGAACTGGAGGTAGTACTTCAAAACATAATGTGATGCAAATAAATGATACTCCGTATATAATAATACCTCTCAAGTACATTGGGCTTTGCAAGCTCCTGTTGAACTTTCTTGGTACCCGCCAAGTGATAAGATATTGAAGGGCATTTAATCGCACTGGACTGCTCTATAAGATGCCTTGCTCTCCATTCCTACATATGTGAAATAAACCAAAGATTTAACCAAAAAATTGCCAAGTTGATATAAAATGTCAAAACCAAACAAAATGCTCTAAATAGAACCCTTGATCATAAAATACAATGCTGAACTAATGATTTCAATTAACACAAAAAAACTAAAAGTAGAACAAGATTCAAACTGAAATGCCATCTTGTTTCTAATAATTAACTAAAACTATGGGAGAAGGAACAAATATGCCCCTATTTACCACAGAACAAATATACCCATCAACTTTCTTTAGGAACAAATAAACACAAAAATTATTAAGTTGGAACAAGCATACTCTTGAACTATGTATTAGAGAACATATATACCCTTTATATCCAATAGTTGAAGGTTGTATATGTTCTTTAATATATATTTCAAGGGGAGAACTCTTCCTGTCCGACCAAGCCGGACAGGACCCTGGTCCGGCCACCTCAATTTGAGGTGGTTTCCAGTGGTATTTTTGGCTGAATTTTTTTGTGCATGTTCCTCATCAAGTCTAGTTCATCCATACCAAATTTCATAAAAAAAATCAATCGGGAAGGTCGTCAAATGATTTTTTCATGATTACTGGTCCAGAATATACATATAAAACGCAGTTATCATGCAAAAATCATTTGACAACCTTCCCGATTGAATTTTTTATGAAATTTGGTATGGATGAACTAGACTTGATGAGGAACATACACAAAAAATTTCAGCCAAAAATACCACCGCGAACCACCTCAAATTGAGGTGGCCGGACGAGGGTCTTATCCGGCCTGGCCGGAGAGGAATTATTGTGATTTCAAGGGTATATTTGTTCACTTTACAATTTTTGTGTTATTTGTTCCAAAAGAAAATTTAGGGGTATATTTGTTCTATGACACACTTCGTATAACTTAAGGGTATATTTGTTCCTTATCTCCTAAAAATTATCGATGCTCTATATTGTGCATCATGATGTACAGTGTATGATGTAAATTGCCATAACCTTTGGCTGACATAGATAAAGGGAAAAGCACTTACAGATTCTGAGTGATAGTCACTCGGAGCATATCCTGCTCTAAAGTAAACAACTGCAATGACTTGACCATCTCTGGTTTCAAAAAAGAAAAATGCAAGGTTATGCATCAACCATAAATGGTAACCAGATAGTATAACATTAATGTTGAACTATTGTATAGTCACATACACAACAAGTGTACCATCTGGAAAAAGCTCTCCAAGTGCATCAATCTCTGCCAGTGTCTTCCGAATAGTTGTCAGTTGATGTGTGTTACTATGCTAAGGAATCACATATCAATATATTGGCGAGAGAGAACATATGCAATAGAAAACAGCTAAATAATGCATAAAAAGCAATGCACAGCATTCATGAAGAATAGCCTCTCTACGGAATTTGTTAAGGATATCTTTCTTTCAGCACTGAAGAAATCCAATGCTGATCATACATGTTGCGCTCTTCAGTTTGAACCACAAACATAACCACAGCCCTGCACTTTTAATAGTCAGGTTAGCTATACAACGTGAAGTTATTATGAAATTTTCAAGACGTGGACATAATTATCCACCTGGGATTGTTATATTCGTTCCATGCTTTAGATAGTGCTTCAGCAAACTTAATCACTGCACTATTTTGAGGAATCCTGTCAGGGTCTAATGCAAGATGTTGCCGATTCTGCTGAATTAAACTCCTGCAGTTTGAAATCAAAGCAGCTTATTTCCATCATTTTCAATGGAGTAAAAAACTCACTATATTTTGGCTTGGAATATGATGGAATAAAGCAAAATGACTCACTAAAGCATGGTCTGACAAGATACAATGCATCTCAATAAAGTTATAGAAATATCAACACAAATATACGTAGAGCTTCACCTGTGAAGCTCAGTGACCAGACAACTCAGTCCAGGAAATGATGACGAAATTGTATTGAGCTCTATTTGCAGAAGTAATTTAGTTTGTTCATCCAGCATATAATCCGAACGATGTAAACCCAAGCATATTTCCTACATTGATAGTCAAGTCAACTTTTGTTATCTTTTCACAATAAATATATACTTTCATCAGCAATCAATGCCAGAAATGCTTTCTGACAATTAAAGAACAGGTTCTTATTTTCAAGTATGCAACAGTAAGAAAAGAGACAGAAAACGCAGCAATAACGAAAAAAACACGGGAATACAACCAGATCCTCCGAACCTTTTTGTTTAGGTAATAATGACAAGTGACAAACAGAAAAATGCCACAAATTGAACAAAATTGCTTACATGACTGACAGAGCTATGCCTGTTCAAATTACATCACAATCACAACAGGATGAACACTTGAAATACCTCTTTTTTATTCATCTCTAACATTTTGGAATGGATATCTAGGAGTCGGGATGTGAAATCATCAACTTTCTTTGTTCTGCAAACCAGGGAAAAGACATTCACCATTAGTACATTGTAAAGAAGTATATCGAACTGTATATCATGGTAGATGCAACTATTCAAGTCATCAGAAGTACAAAAAGAACAGATCTTACTATCATAGCAGAATTTTGTTTGTATGATGGACTTCTAGTATATATATTTAAAAAATGAAATTTGTGGGTGGATACATGCCTTCTCTTCCAGGAGGACAAATGAGAAGTGCTTTCTACCATGCATTACACAAAATAGTTACAGAGTAGAAATATAATGAGAAAACAAATGCAGTGAAAAATTATAAGGGGTTGTTGGATAGAAACATTATACAAGAAGCACACATGTTTGTGTGAACATTAATACAGCCATATTTATACAAGAAAACAAACATAATTAACCTGGAGAGTGATTCCTGTAGAAATTCTCCATCCTGACTCACGCGATCAACAAGTTCATTAAAAATAGGAGCAACTTCACAAGCTTGTTTCCAATGGCTTTCAGGAAATGAAGTGGGTAACAGAGAAAATGGGGCTTGCACTAAATCCACGCCCGGGACGGTTCCTGATCTCTGCAAATACCAATCATCTCAAACTACAGAGTCATTCCTTTCTATTACTCTGTGCAAATCACACAGCATGCATGTCCTTTATTAGTTCTTCTCTCCCCATTATGAAAGAATGAAAAAGCTTTTTAACAAAAGGTATACCGATAGTCGACAAGAAAAGGTATACCAATAGTCAACAAGAAAATGTATACCACAGCAAATTTATATTTACATTTTTGGAACAAACATGTAAACACATAGAAATATATTTCCTCTGGCCAAACACGAAATTGATCAGGCCAGCTTCACTTTTGACCAATAGGACACTTCAACTTAACATATTTTTTGCTTATTAGTAGAGATCATTAACTTCAACGGTTAGTTATTCAATCTAGACGGTAAAAACGATTACTCTCCCTCAGAGTTGCGATTAAAATCAAGTTATCTTAGTCAAAATTGAATTTTGGACATGATTTGATGGTTGAAATTAATAATTAATCCTAATGAGCAGAAAAACCAAAAACCAAGTTGACCTGACAAGAATTTGGTCAGCTGTCCCGACTTGATCTCCATACAACCAGAAACTAGATGACATGTTCTGCTTGAAAAAGGCTGACCTGAGAATTTCTGTCACCAACAAGGAGGCCATTGAGGGAACTCCAGACAAGGGCATCGTATGCCAAGTTCTGCAGCAATTTAGGTTCAAGATTGTGAAGATCGATAACGGGTTTAACCGATGAAGCTCCCTCCTCTTCACAGATCATTGTCCTCAAAGTCAGTGCTGCTGGTGACCGAGATTGAGTCATGGCAAGTTTGGCAAACTTTATCGGAATACGATTTTGTGAATTTCTGACAAGAGAGTGGAATTGATTCGCGTGGCAGACTGGAGAAGGTATCAGAAAAGCGCTCATTTTCTAATCTTTTGAATGGCTATATAAATGGCGGAGGTCTATCCTGTCGCACCACAAGAATGTCTGCGCGTACCCAATGATATCAATAATTGGACAATTTAACCCTTCGGAATCAAATTCTTCCATAAATTCATCAGTTGTCAGCCATTTTCAGTGGGGTGGTACTTTGCAACTTTTTTAACAGTACGATTCCTACTAGTTCCTTACTTCAACAAAAAATATGTCTACGGAATCGTTAAGGAATCGTTATTAAAAAAATAAAAAATTTGAAAGTATAACTAGTAATAATAATTATAACGACAATAATTAAAAAATTAACATTAACAACAACATTAATTATAGTAATAATAATATAATGAATGACATTTAGTCACACAAAAATTTAAATTTAAGTAATGGAAGCGGAAATTTCATAATTATAAAAGTAAACCAAATTAATTCGTGTTGGTTTGATATATTTTTTCTTTATAATATTCAAGATGATTGTGTGATGCAAGCAAATAAGATGAGTCAATAACTAGAGTAGTAAGTGGGTTGTATCTTATTAAATGATAATAAGGATTCGTACAACACACTTCAACTACAAGCTGAGAGGCCGTTTGTCTATCTCAGTAAGAAAAGCTTGAGATAATTGCTACTGCTAAAGGGAATCAGTTGTCAACCCTTTACAATGAAATAAAGGGAATCAGTTGTCAACACACTTCAACTACAAGGGTATTATTTATACTACCAAGAGGTAGGTGATACTGATGGTGTGGATGATTGCGGATGCATAGAGCGGATGAGGGAAAAGGGTGTATGCTCGGTATCTGCCGAGTACACGATTCGTTCCGCGTCGCATGGTTTCCGTAAGTTCCCTCATGAATCATGATGCGAGGGTCCCTTCTGGTTTCCGGGGGGTCAGGTCATTGACATCCCCGTCATCTCCGCGGCTCCACGGGCTATTGAATTGGTCGCTAGATGCCTGGGTGCGAGTCCTCCTGCTGCTCGCTAGCTGCTCGGAAAGGTCATGAGTACGTCCGGAGTTGTTTCTTGCCATCTTGCTTACTTGAGGGTTCTCAAGGAGCTATTTTGGTGAGCTTGTTTTGGAAACTTTTAGCGGAGTTGTTCCAAAGGCGCAGCACGTTATTCTGGATTTCGAGTGGAGAGTTTAATGGATATATGATGCAAGCAAGTAAGATGGGTCAATAACTAGAGTAGTAAGTGGGCCGTATCTTATTAAAAGATAATGATAATAAGAGTCCGTATACAATACACTTCAACTACGAGCTGAGAGGTCGTTCGTCTATCTCAGTAAGGAGAGCTAGAGATAATTGTTATTGCTAAAGGGAATGAGTTGACAATCCTCTATTTATATATAAGAAAACAAATGGCCCCTTAAAATAGGTTTGTGCAATAATACGTCAATATCAACACCAAAGGAGGTTGCTATATACTCTCATAAAACGTGGCATCAAATATGTGGGCCCCAATGTATAAAAAACACCATTTTCTTTAAATTGTTATAACTTTTTAATCGTTTATCTAATGTTTATAAAAATAATATCAAAATTTAAAAGACTCGAAGTTTATTAAACAACCTTCATATTTTCCAACATCAATACTTTTCTGTATTAAATAATAAAATAATTCCTAATATATGAACAAAATGAGGATAATATATAAAACAACACGATTTTCTTAATTTTAGTGACTATAATTATGTTTAAATTTACATTAATGTGACATTCAATATGAATAAATGTCTCAAATAACTATTTAGAGCATCTCCATTTATGATCTCTAATAATCAATTTTTTATATGATTCTTACCATTTAAATATTGTTATGTAATTAATTATAAAATAATCTCAAAATTCGTTTATGTCTCTCAATCATCATCTTCAAATAATCTGTTATTTCTCCGTCCTGCATTTATCTCTATTACATATACTTTTCAAATAATCTTAAAATAATCCGGATTCATATTTTGATCCCAGATTATTGTAGCAAATAATTCTATTAAATAATCTATATCACTCATTGATAATTCTCTAAAAAAACTGTCATGTCACTAATTTAATCTCATAATAATCCTCCCAATGAGGATGCCCTTATGAACAAAAATGTCCCTAAATTTGGTATGAGTACACTTTTATAGTCATTTTGATATAAGATAAAACACAATGAAAAAATAATGCCACATGGCTTCTTTATTATTAAGCCTTTGCTGCTGACATAGAAAAAATGGTGCTGCTCAACAACACAAAAACAACTCTTTCCATGTATTAGAGGGATCCATTTAAAAAAAACCTTCTTCTTCAAAAAGTGGTATACCTTTTTCATTTTTACTTCATTTTTTACAAAAATATTTTTGAAAAATTCATGATTTTTTATTTTCTTTCAATTGACACAAATATTGTTGCATATATAAAATTTAAAAAAATCTGAAAAAGTTTATTAAGCAATACTTCTATTTTCCAACCACAACACGGATTATTCGGTACTTGATTAATAAATAATTTATAATATATGAGCAAAATAAGAGTAGTTGATAAAAATAAGAGTTATTAACTATTAGTGACTATAATTATATTTAAAGTTATATAAAAAGTTCATTTTTTCTTTACCAAAATAAACGTCAACAACTTTCCGTATACTACCACGTTCTTAGATAGGTGCAACATTTTATAGGTTTATAATATTCACATATTTTACTTTGATTATACTTTATTTATGGAATTTTATCAACCCGGGACCTGAAAGATAGATGAAATGTCAATTTGGGACCTGAAAGATAAAATGTATCGATATAAGACCCGAATGATGGAAAACTGTCAATCTAGGACCCGAATAAACTTTTTCAGAATTTTTTAGGACCTAATAAACTGAAAAATATATATCAAAATTCATGATTTTTTTATTTTCTTTCATTTTATAGGTTTATAATATTCACATATTTTACTTTGATTATACTTTATTTATGGAATTTTATCAACCTGGGACCTGAAAGATAGATGAAATGTCAATCTGGGACCTGAAAGATAAAATGTATCGATATAAGACCCGAATGATGGAAAACTGTATGTAACATACGTACTTCGTACACATTTTATTTTCTATTACGAATGCTATTATGGAATATATTTTACATCACTCTCTCTACCCCATTAAAATTTGTCTACTCATAGGATGGAAGTATTATGCTCATTTGAAAAATCTATGTTTTTTCTTAAATATTATCATTTATGATACTCTTTATGTCAAATTTACTTTTTTATCATTTATGATACTCTTTTTTTGTTTAGAATGTATGTAATAAGATGTGAGCAATTTAATTAGCTATTAAATATCTCATATTATTCTCTGGAAAATAATTATGTGCATGTCACATTTGGGAGAGTTGCAAAGTTTATAGTTGGAAAAAGGGAATGAAGCTATGAAACTTGCTCCATGTGCACTAGAAAGGCTAGAACGCAGAGTAATTACTTCACATGCAAATGTGGTATATATAACTAGAAGCATACTCTATGTATTTTGTTAGCTGGATAAATATGTTAATTCTAATATTATTTTTGTCTGGTCTGATTTGTCGTCACTTTAAGATAATGCAAATGTTGAAATAGGTATAAGATCATAAACTTGCTAATAATTGAATGAGAGAAATTTCTCTATCATATATAGTGTTTTTAGGTATAAAAAAGATAAGTTTGCTAACAATTGAACAGAGATTTAAGCGGGATAATTTTATATCTCATACGTAGTGCTTTTAGCTACTTCCTCCGGTTCTTATTTAAGTTCCCAGTTTGACTTCACACATATTAAGAAAATGGATTTGACTTTACTGTGGAGTGCACTGTTTGGCACTGTTTGGACACTGTTTGGCACTGTTTTGCACTGTTTTGTTTCCTAAAATGGAAGCGTGAATTTAAATAAGGGACATCCCAAAAAGGAAAGTGAGAACTTTAATAAGAACCGGAGGAAGTATTAAAATATAAGCTTGCTAACAATTGAGCAAAGAATTGAGTGGGATAATTTTATATCTCATACGTAGTGCTTTAGATATTAAAATATAAGCTTGCTAACAATTGAGCGGGATACTTTTATCTGTCATATGTTATGATTTTAGGTATTAGGAGATAAGCTTGCTAACCATTGAGCGGAAAAACGTTCTCTCTATATGTAGTTCTTTAAAGTATAAGATACATTGACTAAAAATTGAGCGAAAAAGTTTTCTCTCTCATATGTAGTGCTTTTAGGTATAAGAAGATAAGCCGACTAACAATTGAGCGGAATAATTTTCTCTCTCATATGTAGTGGTTTTAGGAATAAGAAGATAAGCTTGCTAATAATTGATCTGCATAAATTTCCCTATAATATGTAGTGTTTTTAGGTAGTAGAAGACAAGCTTGCTAACAAATGAGCAGGAGAATTGAGCGGGATAATTTTCTCTCTCATATGATGTGCTTTTATGTATCATTATATAGATTTTCTAACAATGAAGCGCAATAATTTTTTTTCTCTTATATGTAGTGCTTTTAGGTATAAAATGAGCTGACTAACAATTGAGCCAAAGAATTTTCTCTCTCATATGTAGTGGTTTAAGGTATAACAAGATAAACTTGCTAATAATTGAGCGGAATATATTTTTCTATCATGTGTAGGGCTTTTTAGGTATTATAAAAGATAAGTTTGCTAACAATTGGGTAGGGGAATTGAGCGGAATAATTTTCGCTCGCATATTCCTAACAATTGAGCGGGATAATTTTCTTTATTATATGTATTTCTCTATCATAAGTTAGCACTATTTTAACTAATGATTGACAAGTTCTTATTTAACTAATATTCTTTAATATTAATATTTTTTTGTATATATTTACTTAAATAATGTGCGGGCGGGCTGAGCAGTTTTGTATAGGTCTACATCCCTACATGAGTCCAACGCAATCTCAAAGCTCTCAAATCTCAAAATGTCTACACTTCTTTCTCTCACTCCCATCCCTCCAAAGGCCATCACCAATTCCATTTCCGAGCACCTCATCTTTCTTAAACCCAACTCTCTTTCAAGAAGGCTTCTGTTCTTCACCTCCTTTTTTTCTCTGAACTCGTTTCCCTACCCTGCCCTTCAAAACCCTCTTCCGAAATCATCTGCTGAGTCACCTCAACCCCCGTCTCCATCATCAAATCCGTTTCTTTCAGGCATTGCCAACACCAAGTCTTGGATCCAGTTCTACGGAGATGGTTTTGCTATTCGGGTCCCACCTCAGTTTCAGGACACATTGGAGCCTGAGGTATGGAAGACCACAGCTGTATTGCGTTCCCTTTCTTATTGCAAAAGTGGAGTGCTTATATTAGTAGTTGGATATGTAGATACATACTAGCACGTTTTAGCTGTAATGAAAAAAAAACGATTATTAGAAGGTAGTGGTATTGTGATAGCATTGGTAGTGATAGAGAAATTGTTTTTTTGCAAGGATGATGGAGAAATTGTTGAGAAGGTGTGTAGGAGGGCTTGGAAATATGATAGTTGGGGTAGGAATTGGGCAACAGTAATTCAAATGTACATTTTTTTGTACATTACTATTTACATTTTGTGTTTATTGGGTGATGAAAAGTTTAGACTTACTCATTTGATATTGGTGAGTAGCAGAGTAGGTAAAAGTTGGGGTGTAGCCACACAGGGGTTTTGGCAATGGGGATGACTAGGTATTGGGCTAGTGGTGATGGGGTTAGTGTTGATAATGGTATTGGTGGTATTGATGGTGATGCTTACTGAGTAGGTAGTGTAAGGGTTGGGTGGAGACGTGGAGTAGGGATAGGGTAGGTGCAGCAGTGGTAAGGGTAAGTGACACACACACATAATGCTAATAGGGTAAAGAAGTAATGAACAGTATACCTGGTAACCTGGAATTGTATGACAGTGGGCATATATGGGTAAACTTTTTTTGGGACAATTAAACAAAAAATTTGTAAAATTTGAACAAATGTACACTTCAACTATATATTTGAAAACATATACACCCCTTAAGTACTGAACTAAATGATATGTGTGTGTGTGTTTTATAATGTATAGTTCTAAGGGTATATTTGTTCTAATTTACAGATTGTTTCAAAGTGCTCTATAAAAGGCTGGGGGTTATATTAATATATTTATTCTATAACTTATGTTTCAAGGGCATAGTTGTTCTTTTCCCCAATGGTAATTTCATGATTAATTGATAACAAAAGATGTATGTTTTATAATTAAAAAACAGGAATACAATGAGCTCATATAAACAAGTCGTCATTCATTGGCAAAATATAAACATACAAACTCATATATAAAGTTTTGGATTACCTTTCATTTACTCATTCTTGTAACTAGGATCCCAAACTGTTTGAATTTGGGGTCCACGGGGAAAAAGACAAATTCATACTCCCTCCGTCCCTAAATTATCTTCAAACTTTCCTTTTTCGTCCGTCCCAAAATTATCTCTTCTTCCCCCTTTTAGCAAAAAATTTGTGGTTCACAACCATTCTTACACATTCTTACACATTTCTCTCTCCTCTGCACAACTCTCCACCACACAAATCCCACTATCTTAATAAATGTGCCCAGCCGAAAAGGGAGAAAGATTAGGGACGGAGGGAGTATATGTTTTACCCAAAAACATTGTACATGAATCTTTGGGATGAAATATCAACATTTTGTTAGACATGCAGCAAGGCAGTCGGTGGAATTTTATAATAAAGTGTATAAAAGAAGAGTTAATAGGGATGCTGCTATTAACTAATAACTAACGGGTTAGTTAGTTAGTTATTGTCCCTGCGTGGACATTACTATAAATAGAAGGGCTCAGCTAGCTGAAGGTAGTTTTAGACTCTTGGCTAGAACATGACTGGGAGATTAGGCATCTCGAATTGTCTACAGTTTGTATAATCTGATCTTGTGAATAAAGTGTGTGAACTGTGTGTTGTTTTTGAACAATTCTGTATTCGAAAGTGCATGATCTATCATTGGTATCAGAGCATTACGCTCCTGGAGATTATAGAAGTGAGAAGATTCAGAAATTTTGTTCGTTCGAACGTGAATGGTTAAAACGAGAGCAAGAATGGATCGCCGTTTGGATTCGATGGAACAAAAACAGCAGGAAACGCAATCTGCGTTGGAAGTTCTCGCAGCTAAGATTGATGCGATGGCGACACAGTTTCAGAACCGAGGAAGGTCGCGAACACCTCAAACTCATCATACGAGGGATTCGCGCAGTCTGATACAATCCAGAGGTAATTCGGTTAACTCTCCTGTCCATAATGATCGACGAAACAATGAGTATAGGAGAGCACAGATTAGAAAGGTAGATTTACCTTTATTCAATGGCGAAGGAGCATATAATTGGATCATACGCATGGAGAGGTATTTTCGTTTAAATCACATTGAGGAGGAAGAAAAAGTTGAAGCATCTATGATGGAGGATAGAGCACTTAACTGGTTCCATTTGTGGGAGAATCAAACTGAGGAAACAAGTTGGGAGGCTTTGAAGAAATCTGTCATTCGCAGATTTCAACCAGAATTGATTCAGAATCCGTATGGACCAATGTTAAGTTTGAGACAAACTGGAAATGTGCAAGATTATCGAGAAGAGTTCGAAATGGTGATAGCTCCACAATTGCATATGGATGGGGAATTGCTGCGAGGGGTATTCATGTCAGGTTTGAAGGAGGAGATAAAATCTGAACTGAAGATGTATGCATCCAGGTCTTTAACCGAGATCATGGATAGAGCTGTACTCATTGAACAGAAGATTGAAACACAATTTGGAAAAAAGAAGGAAGAGGAAAAACTGACAATAAGGGAAAGAGGTTCTGTACCAGTCAAGGGACAGAGTTGGGGATATAATTCCAGAGTGAAATCTGGTTACAACTGGCCATCTCAGAGTAAACTGGTACCTGAGAATAAGTATAATAATACTGGAATGGATAAGATTGGTAAGAAGACTATTGATAAGAACAGGACCCCTGTTGTCTCAAGAGGAATTTTAGGAAAGAAGTAGAAAGGGGCTATATTTTAAATGTGGTGAAAAGTGGAGTAAAGAACATACTTGTAAATTGAAAAATTTCAAGTTGATGTTGGTTGAAGAAGCAGTTGAGGAAGAACAGTCAGAACAAATTGAAGATATCATACCAGAAAATATCTGTCAGGAAGTAATGGAATCTAAATCCATGCAATTATCCTTGATGAGCAAAGAAGGGATTCCTACCATGAGGGCTTTCAAAGTGCAGGGGATTCTGAGGGGAGGATCAAGAGATCAACATGTGAATGTGTTGATTGACAGTGGGGCTACCCACAACTTTATTTCACAGCAGTTGGTGGAGCAATGGAAACTGCCTTTTCAGACAGTTTCTGATTACAAAGTGCAGATTGGTAATGGGGATTATATAGCCAATAACAAGAAGTGTCCTCAGTTGATATTAAACTTACAAGGAGCTGAGATAATACAGGATTTTTATATCCTAAATTTAGGGGGCACTGATTTGGTATTGGGTATGGATTGGTTGACAAGTTTGGGAGATGTTGAGATAAACTTTCAGAAACAGAAAATTAAATGGAAACAGGGGGAGCAGGAGGAGTGCATTCAAGGAGATCCCAAACTAAATTCAATGGAAGTATCATTGAAAACATTTTCACAAATATTATGTGATAATGGAGATGGTTATTTCTTATATTGTGAAGGAAAGAACATGGAAATGGAGCAAGAAGGAGGACTGGAAACCATTTGGAAGCAGATTTTGGAAGAATTTCCAGAAATTATCAAACCTAGAGAAGGTTTACCTCCCAGAAGAAATTGTGATCATTCTATACTGATTCAGGAGGGAGCTAAGATACCTAATATCAGACCTTACAGGTACCCACAGTACCAGAAGACTGAAATAGAGAAGATTGTGAAAGAAATGCTTGATTCTGGGATTATCCAGAATAGCAATAGTCCATACAACAGTCCTATACTCTTAGCCAAGAAGAAGGATGGTGGATGGAGGTTCTGTGGAGATTACAGAGCCCTTAACAAAATCACAGTTCCTGACAAATATCCAATCCCAATAATTGAAGAACTACTTGATGAACTTGGGGAGGCTACCATATTTTCTAAGTTGGATCTAAAATCTGGCTACCATCAGATTAGGATGAAAGAAGAAGATAGGATGAAGACAGCTTTCAGGACACATGAGGGCCATTATGAATATTTGGTAATGCCCTTTGGTCTAACTAATGCTCCCTCTACCTTCCAAGCTTTGATGAATCAGGTACTAAGGCCTTATTTGAGAAAATGTGCCTTAGTCTTTTTTGATGATATCTTGGTATACAGTAGAACTAAGGAGGACCACATAGAGCATTTGAGAGCAGTCCTATCTGCTTTGAGGGATAATCAGTTGGTGATTAACCCAACTAAATGCTCTTTTGGACAACCTCAATTAGTCTACTTGGGGCATATTATTTCTGGAGTAGGAATAACAGCAGACCCTACCAAGATTGAAGCCATGGTTACTTGGCCAAAACCCCAGAATTTAAAGGAGTTGAGAGGGTTTTTGGGGTTAACTGGCTATTACAGAAAATTTGTAAAGGGGTACAGTAAAATTGCAGCACCCCTTACACAACTCCTATAGAAAGACAGTTTTCAGTGGGGAGAACAAGCTACACAATCTTTTGAGGAGTTAAAAAGAACCATGACTTCACTCCCAGTCCTAGCTACACCTAACTTCAATAAAACATTCATTCTGGAGACTGATGCTTCTGGAACTGGGTTAGGTGCAGTTCTCATGCAAGAAGGCAGACCTGTGGCTTTTATGAGCAAGATATTATCTAAAAGAAACCAAAACAGATCAGTTTATGAAAGAGAGCTCTTGGCTATTGTGTTAGCAGTACAAAAGTGGAGACCCTATTTGTTGGGAAGAACTTTTGAGATTGTAACTGACCAAAAGAGTTTGAAGTTTCTGACAGAGCAAAGATTAATGGGTGAAGAACAACAGAAGTGGACTTCTAAGTTGTTGGGGTACAATTTCATCATCAGATATAGACCTGGGGTAGAAAACAAAGCTGCTGATGCTCTCTCTAGAAGACCTATGCTCCAGTCTCTTTCAATTGTGACATGTCAAGAATGGGATGGATTGGAAGAAGAATTGAAGGCTGACATCAAATGTGCAGAGTTGATTCAGAAAGTGATTTCTTATCCAGATCAATATTCAGAATTTCAGATCATTAAGGGTTTGTTATATTATAACAAGAGACTAGTTCTACCTCAAGGATCACCCAGAATCATAAAGATCATGAGGGAATATCATGAAACTGCCATGGGAGGGCATTCAGGATATTTTAGAACCATGAAGAGAGTATCCAGTCTTTTCTTTTGGCAAGGTATGAGGAAGGATATAAAGAAGTGGGTGGAAGAATGTGTGGTTTGTCAGACTAATAAATATCAAGCTTTGAAGCCTGCATGACTACTACAACCACTCCCTATACCAAATAGCAGTTGGACTGACATTAGCATGGATTTCATTGGAGGATTACCCAAATCACAAGGGAAGGATACTATACTTGTGGTTGTGGACAGATTAACTAAATATGCTCACTTTATTGCTTTGTCACATCCCTACAATGCTAAGGAGGTAGCTGATGTGTTCATTAAAGAAGTGGTCAGATTACATGGGTTCCTTAAAACTATAGTCAGTGACAGAGATAGTGTTTTCCTCAGTGTTTTTTGGTCTGAACTATTCAAATTGGCTGGGACACAATTGAAGTACAGTACAGCTTATCATCCTCAGACTGATGGTCAGACTGAGGTGCTTAACAGATGCTTGGAAACTTATCTCAGGTGTTTAACAGGAAGAAAACCAAAAAAATGGCTTAATTGGTTACATTAGGCTGAGTATTGGTACAATACTAACTATCATGCTGCACTGAAAACTACCCCTTACAAGGCTCTATTTGGACAGGACCCTCCTGCAGTAATTAGAGGAGATGTTACAGTTACTGCAATAGAAGAAGTTTGAAAACTGACTGCTCAGAGGAATATAATATTGGATGAGTTGAAAGAGAATTTGGCCAAAGCTCAGAATCAGATGAGGCAGCAGGCCAATAAACACATGAGAGAAGTTACATTGGAGATAGGGGATCAGGTTTATCTGAAAATTCAACCTTATAAGCTGAGGAGTTTAGCTAAGAGGATGAACAAAAAATTAAGCCCAAGATTTTATGGTCCATTTCAGATTATTGAAAAACTCAGTTCTGTGGCTTTTAAACTGCAGTTGCCAGAAGATTGCAAAATTCATCCTGTGTTTCATATATCTTTGTTGAAAAAAGCTATATCATCTACTACCTACTTTCAACCTCTATCTAAGTGTCTGAATGAAGAATGGGAGTTACAGGTTGTGCCAGAAGAAATTTTGGACACAAGGGTTGATGCAGATGGTAATTGGGAAGTGCTGGTTCATTGGAGCAATCTGCCACAATTTGAAGATTCTTGGGAGTCAATGAAAATGATCAAAGAACAGTTTCCAGAGTTTCACCTTGAGGACAAGGTGAATTTCCAGGGGGGAGTATTGTTAGACATGCAGCAAGGCAGTCGGTGGAATTTTATAATAAAGTGTATAAAAGAAGAGTTAATAGGGATGCTGCTATTAACTAATAACTAACGGGTTAGTTAGTTAGTTATTGTCCCTGCGTGGACATTACTATAAATAGAAGGGCTCAGCTAGCTGAAGGTAGTTTTAGACTCTTGGCTAGAACAGGACTGGGAGATTAGGCATCTCGAATTGTCTACAGTTTGTATAATCTGATCTTGTGAATAAAGTGTGTGAACTGTGTGTTGTTTTTGAACAATTCTGTATTCGAAAGTGCATGATCTATCACATTTATATGGGGATCTTGGGGTGGGTCCGGGCCCATGTTGGTTCCCCTAGATATATCAATCTTTAGGATGAAATATCAACATTTATATCGTATTGTCAGAGGTAATTAAGTTTAAACTAGTACATGATCTGATTAAGACTAAAAATGCATGAATCTTAGATTAGTTTGCTATTACGAACCAACTTTTTGTGAGAACATGTTACGATTCAAAATAGATTTTAGGATACAATAACTTAAGTATTAATGTATGGAAATAGTTGTTGACATGGCCCATCTTGACGCAGTGATTGATTTTCTAGGAATTCAATGTTGGGTTGCAACTGTACGGTGATAAAGCTAAACCAAAAATTCTTGCTGCACGTTTTGCGTCTCCCGATGGGTAACATACTGATCATTATCTATGTTATTTCAAGCCTTTTTTTATGCTTGTTTACATTGAAACTAAAATGTTTTTCGTTTTTCGAAAGCAAAAGTTTGATGTGTTTTATTATTTGGAACTTTACTATTTCATTAAAATTCATATGGACAGCCAAACATCTTTGGTTGTTCTCTGGGTGGTAAGGCTGGGTCTAGTTGTTGGTTCATAGTCATACACTCATACCTCAGGAAGACAATGCCTCATATAATCTTCTCTCAAGGAACAAAAGTTTTCCGTTAGGCTGGGTCTAGTTGTTGGCTCATACCTTAGGAAGCCAATGCCTTTATATGATCCCTTCTCTCAAGGAACAAAAGTCTTCCATTTTGTACTGAAATTTCATGCTCCTCGTTCATTTTCATTCCTCAGCATTAGTTTGTATTCAAACTAAAATGCTATAATGTGTTCCTAAAGCATAGATCTGAAGTTGTTAGCGTTTTGATTCGCCCAACTACTCAACTCAAGATTACCTTCTTGGAGGTTTGTGAAATTCAATTATTTGCCGATTTACTTTTACTCTAATGTTCACATACTACACAGTTTTTACAGCCTTTGCCCCGATTTCCAATGTCTTCTATATACATAGTCACAAAATTGCAATTTAAATGTAATAAACCATAATTGGATATTTGTTCTTGCTAATTGCTATGCGTCAACAATGTAGTTCTGAATATCTGAAATTTATTTACTATATATTGAATTGCCCTGATTACATTATTAATACTTAATACACTTAACTTATGTACTAGATCCACCACTTCGTAAGTATCTTGGCATTGCATTACATCAAGTATCTTGGGTCAACTTGATGGCAAGCAAGTTTAGGGTGAGAAGCATTCAAATGTACCATAAGACCATAAGTGACCAATGTGTTAAGCCTCTCACACATAAAACTTTGGGTTAGTCCTCATATTAGGTAGAACTTTTAGCATGATTGTCGAAGTTTTAATATAGGATCATAGTCAATTCAATTTAAACAAACAACTCAACTGGACTATGATTAAAAAATAACACATACATTTCAAGATTGGTCTATTCCAAATTTCCAAATTTCCAAATTTTCAAATTTCAGCAATTTTGAAACTGTTGTAACACACGTTTTTAAGTTTTAGGTGTGGAAGTGACTGCAGCTCTAGCTCGCTAGTATAGCGCTACCCATATTACAACCAAAAAATGCATCTTTGGGCTTTTTCTTTTTAAGGTTGAAGAGTCTACAGTGTATTGTAGTAGTGCATAAATAGTCTAATTTTGATCATTCTTGTCGCACTCCAAGCAGGCTCAGGACATAAGCGACTTAGGTTCATTGAAGCAAGCAGCTAAGATATTTGTTCCTGGTATTTTAAAGTGTGCTCACTCAATTTCACTTATATTTCTTTTCCATCTGGCTTGAATAGGCATGAATGTTTTTTCTTTGGTGCTTTAATGGTAGGTGGAGCTACTCTTTATTCTGCCCACACAATCAAAATTAAGGAAGATGAAGGCTTTAGGTGAGTGTATGTTCGAGTTCATGGAGAGGTTGTCAATTTCTAAAAGGCGAACTTTGACAAACGCTAATTAGTATGGAAAGCATCTAATTACAATCAAGATTTGATTTCAGATTGTACTTCCTCGTTTTTTCTTCCACAAGAGGTTTATACACAGTTGCAGGCTTGCAGTTTGTCTATACAGTCGTGATATTTGTATTGGGAATGTCCCACATAAAAGTGATCTATTGGGGTTGGGGGTGTTTTGTACATCTACAGGACCTATTACTTTTATGAGTTTGGACGAGATGAACAACACATTGCACTGGTAGCAGCCGTTAACAGTGGAAAGGTGTATTTCTTAGATCTTTGCTCCTTGCACATGGCTTTGTTTTTTTTGGAACTTTTCCTGAAATAACACTAATTCAATACACATTGGACAAAAATATTAGTTTTCAGTTTAAGGAAAAAATGTTATAAACGCAGTTACCAAAGTTTCCATCATTTGCAATGGAGCCAAAGATTCATTATTTTTTGGCTTGAGATTATGATGGAATAAAGCAAAATGGCTCACTAAACTGTCTGTGCTTCTTTGTTATGAAGCAGCAGTCAGTCCATGCAATTTTGGACGGGATTTTCACGATGGGTCATTCGGAAACAGTCTCTCTGTGCTTTAGTACAGGGGTAAGGCTGCGTACATCCGACCCCCCCTTACCCCACCGTAGGTGGGAGCCTTTGCGGCACTGGGGTAAATGAAAATGAAATGAGTTACTTATTAGTAACCACATTGGTAGTTGGTCTGCCAGTTGATTGTTAGTAATGGCGTAGTTAAAAATTTGTCCTAAAATCTACTCCCTATTATGTTTAGGACCAGGGAATTAGCACAATAAGGAAAAGTGGGTTGTGTGGCCATCGAATTTGAAAAATTTAGAATGATTAGCATATCCAGATATTGTATGACACAAATATTCTGAGACGCAAAAAGATGGAAAGATTGAACTTACAAAATGGGATGAAGGCATTAATATCGAAGGATTTTTTGTATTTTTCCTGCCTTTGAGAGCATATATATAACTGAAATCGAATTTTTAGCTGAAATTTGGTATGGGTAAACTAGACTTGCGTAAAAACATGCTCAAAAAAAATCATAAAAACTTCCAGTAGGAACGGTCCCGAAATGGCCTCGGGCGGACAGCGGTTCCCGTCAGGCCAGCTGGACAGGAGCGCCACTATGTGTGTGTGTGTGTGTTCTGTTAACCTAAGACATTCAAGTATTATAGCTATATGCTCTCAAAGGCAGGAAAAATACAAAAAATCCTTCGATATTAATGCCTTCATCCCATTTTGTAAGTTCAATCTTTCCATCTTTTTGCGTCTCAGAATATTTGTGTCATACAATATCTGGATATATATATATATATATATATATATATATATATATATATATAAACAGCGCAGTCTTTTTCAATTACACGTTTGACTGCCTTCCCGATTAAATTTTTAGTTGAAATTTGGTATGAAAAACTTGACTTGATGAAGAACATGATCAAAAAATTTCATCAAAGAATTCCACCGGGAAGGGCCTCAAACGGCCTCGGCCGGACGGCAGTTCCCGTCAGGCCGGCTGGACATAAATTGTCCTCTCTCTCTCTCTATATATATATATATATATAGGGGATGGTTCAAATACAAAGAGCTCTTCCCATGCAAAGTGAGAATGAATCTTGTGCATTCATTTCCACATCTAATGGCTCAAAATGAGTCAAAAATGCACTAATTAAATTTGACCACAATCGCGGTGGCAATTTTGTAAATAAACCACACTTTTTCGCCACCGCGAAAAAGTGCAATAGAAACACAAAAAAGTGCAAGCAAAACATGAAAAAGTCTTTTTATTTGAACTCTTTCCTATATATATAAACACTAAAGTTAAAAACTTTAGTATATTTGGAGGAAACTTTTGTTGATAACTTTCTTGTTAAATTAACTAATTTCAAACTGCTATTCTCAGGCATTCATTGTTGGAGCAACAGCCCCAGAGGACAAATGGAATGACGACGGTATCAAGCTTCGATCTGCTGCTGTGTCACTCGCTGTTCTATGATCTGATGAAAGAAGAGACACTCACATTGCTGTGTATGATCCATAGAAGCGCCAAATTGTCAATTCTTGGTACTTAGGCAAATATTTTTTTTTTCAAAATTGGGATTCCTTAATGTTATTTCAGTTTGTTCCCTTTTATACTGACACGTCAGGAAACTTTTTATACTAAGACATCAGTAAATGCTCTCAAAGAAGGAAGATTTGGCCACAATATTCCTATCTATGCTCCATTCTCTTTTAATGATTTCAATCATCTATTATTTTTGTGTACTTCTGTTTCTAGATGAGGCTATCCGGTTATGTACCCCTGCTTCCTAACTGTACTGTACATGTAATTCGGAAGGCTTGCTAAATTGTATGTCCATATTTGTGTAGCTCTCCGGTGTATCTACATTACTGCATGTTTTGGTGCATTCATCACATGGCTTAATCTTACTCCGTATTTGATATCTACTCCTTGTCAGTTATTCATTTAAAAAATTTCAAAATTGCAAATGTGATCCTTGACTAGCTGATATTTGTAAGTCAGCCCTAATAACATGTCTGGTTTCCCCTTCTGTCATCCCTGTTCCCTGCCGCCTTATCTGATCTTGTTTGACTTTGCCGTTCAATCGTCACCTTCGCATCTGTGAACCTTATCCGTGGGCTTTAGCTGGCCGGTCTCCCAAACAAAATCCCAACTACACTCGGCAAACTTCTCTTTTAATTTATATTTTTGTCTCCTTGAGATTTGATCATTTCTAAATTATTCACTTCACACTGCATCGTTCAGCTGGGCAAGATTCGTGAGAGTGGTGTGGTGGGTTCTTTCTCTTCATTTTCTATGGAAGTTCTACTCATCGCTCTAGTGTTACATACTTACATCTGGTGCCTGGTGGGTGTTGACAGAGGGTTGTCTTAACTCCTAAGGGCTCATGGAAGAGAATTTTCAAATCTAGGTTCCTATGTGGAGTCCCTGGAATGAAGGACCCAAATTCCAGATTTGCATTTGAGGCTTGGAACTGCTGCAACGAAGTCGAGGAAGAAGAAACTGTGATTTTGGTGGGAGGTACGTTCGGAATCATACTTGGGTAGTTCAAAAAGTAGCTTAAATGTCTATGATTGTCTGGGAGGTTTTGAAAGAACCTTGATATGTTTCTGATGTAACATTTTGATGAACTAAATCTTAAAGACTGAAACCAAAAGAAGCACTATCAAGCAACAAACTTTGCAATCTTGGTACAACTTTATAGGTTCCACCTATTGCACTTCTGCCTAATTGTCCCATGCAAAAGAAGGCCCTTCAGCCTTTCAGCAGACAGGTGTTTGGGTAGTGCTTCCATTTCTCAAATCACTAGCTAAACAGTTTTATATAGGTATGAGGAGCTGTTTTGTCTGCTAAGCTTGCAAGAATGTGGATGGGCTATCAATGTTGGTAGTGGGCTTCATCATTACTCTGCACAGAACGGGGTCGTTTTTGTGCTTATGTAGACATCCCTTAGCATTTCATTTTCTATTCGTTTAATTTTTTCTTTCCCTCTGAGTTTCTAAAATCCAAACATAGCCTTAATTTATCAGCAGTACCAAGAGAAATCAGAACATGGGAAACTGATAGGATTTGTTTTGGTGGGGAAATAGTAATGTGAACGCATAAACCTTGTCAGACATGGAGCTTGCATCCCCATACCACCACTAAATCATTTCTCCTGATTTACATCCCTTTTATCTTGTCACCCTCAATGTTTTATTACTGCCTCAAGTAACACATTCATCTTTATGAGTTGTGGCATGCTCTTTAAGGTTTTTGAATCCAGAAGTTACATTGATCAGAAGGTTAAAGTACCAAAAGAATCGAGAGCTACAAGTTATAATCATCCAATAGCTCCAAATCCACCATTTATATTCTAACAGCTACATTTAAACTCAAAAGACGCCATACGACCAAACATTTGAGGCCGTCACATCTAATGAAATAACACAAATCATCAAACGGGCAACATAGAGTTTTTACTGGCGTTTAAGGTCACCGTACTTTTCACCAATTCACTAGACTCGTATTAATGAAAATTTGTGACATTTTAGGTCATGATCGATAGTTTCCAATCACTCGGATCTTAAATTAACACAATTTATGTGTGAGGTCCCTTATGGATAGGAGTTTATGAACCTATCTTTAACGTCCTGTATTTATAAAATTCTCCATTTTAATTGAAAATCCGAATTGAGCAATATGCATGGACTCAAAAGCTTACTAGACTCTTGCCAAGAACACATGGAAAAAAATCAAGTAATCTTTTTCAAATACGAAAATGAGTCCTAAATAGAAATGGATTTTCCTATCTAACTCTTAATTGATGACATTAGATGAAAATGAGTCTTAAATAGAAATGAATTTTCCTACCCAATCTCTTTTTTTTTGGGCAAAAAGGAAATTGATTTATTAATGATAAAATCAACAAGAGATGAGACATAGAATATTTTTATTGATATTCAACTTATCATTTTTGTCATTCAAAAATAGATTCTGGATCAATAAATTTGATTCATATTAAAAATAACTTTCAACTTGCAGATATATATACAAAATCTCTTGGGAATCCATTATTTCACCAGTTTGCAGTCAAGATGAACATGCTGGATATACAATACAATCAGATGACCTCCAAGGACCAAACAAATTCACTAATCCCGCAATTGTGTAGACTAATCTAACAGAACTGCTGAACTTGATACTCTAAAGGCAATTGAAAGAGAATAAATTTTTCAAACTAGAAAGGAAAGAACATAATTCAAGAATTCCAGCTTCACCAGACACCGAAAAGAGAGAATTGATTTTACTAGCAATCAACGAAGGAAACTCAGTCGCGCAGAAATTTTCTGAATCATTGGTTTGACCAGCCACCGAATTAAGGAGATTTAGTTGATCGTTTTCTTCTTCTCAAAGCGTGGCGGTGGTTCAGGTGGAGGATGAGTAATTGAAGCCTCAAAACAACAAGGTTGGAAAAGCTTTGTCAACCATGAACAACGAAAAATTCACCAGATCAATTACACCGATGAGAAACACACAACCTTTAGAGATTGCTAGGAGAATAACATACCACACACTCACCTGAAGCGGACAAAACTCACGATCAAAGAAGAAGCAGGACCAAAACCCTCAAAACTAGACATTTTAAAAAATCGGAAGCATAGAAAAATCTTTGATTTGATCCTTCACTGCCCAGAGAATATCACCATCTTTCAAGACTCTTGCTGATTGAAGAAGAAAAGGCTAGAGGACCAGGTCTTGGAGAAGGCCGGAGATGGCCGTCTAGGGTTTCCTCTAGGGGTGGCCGCTAAGCTCTCATTTTTATGGGCTTTAAGTTTATTTTTGTACCAAATTGCTATATTTCCTATCTAATCTCTTAATTAATGACATTAGATATTTAAAAAATGTGTCAAATCTCATTGGGTTATAATTATTCGTTCAAAAAGTGCCTCCAAAAACCAATTTTACAATTTTGAAATCACTTTTCTTAATCATATGATTGAATATGCAAGTAACCTTGTTCAGATTTCTAAATTATGCAAAAATACTAATCATTTTTCATTTATTTGACAATTAAATTTGTTTATAAAGGGGATTTGCACACAAATAACTATAACACAAAAGAGTGACGTATTTTTTAAAATCAATTTAGAATTTGGTGCATTAAACCCTATCTCATTAAAAAAGAACCATGATTCACATGGAGTAGTATCTCTTTTTGTAAACAAAAACCTCCCATATCCGCGGTGTAACTATGATTCTATCCGCTTTTTGGGTATGGGTAACAAGAACTCCTAATTTACACTCAAAAAAGAAGGAAAAATAAATAGGAATAATCCCAACGGTTAATAATATGTTTAAATAATACAAAATATCAATTTTTCAAAATAATCTTAACTACAAAAAATTCTTGAAATATTTCAATAACTTGTAATAACTCGTAAATGACTTAACATATTTATGAGTTATTGGAGCATTTTGAATTTCTTTTTTAATAGATGAGATTATTTTAAAATAAGTGATACTTTGAATTATTTTAAATAAATCATGAGATTATTTTCATCTATTTTTCCAAAAAAGAATACAAAAATGAGTCAACAGCGTTTAATGAAAAGAGTTTTACAAAAGTATTATTAAAATAAAATTTATTTATAGAAATATGACTATTTGTTACTACAATGTAGTGTTATACTAATTTAAATTTACAAATTGAACATAAGTTACAGTAATTATTTCTCAATGAAATTTGATTAAATTTCTCATACTCACCCTTACCCAAAACCTTCCATGGAGTTACAGGCAGGGAGTATTATTTCTCAAGTATAGCAATGGCACTGAGACGTTTAGCCTCCGTTCGGAGGCTCCAAATAAGCCTTTATCGAGCAACTGAGATTCGATCGAATTCTTCTTCCTTGTACGGTCATTTCACATCCCATTATTAAGCATCAACATGTATTAAGTAGAACTATATGTGTAAGCTGTATGCTCATATAACTGCATACACCCATATATTTTCTTCTTTCGCTTGTTCAGAGGCATTGGGGTTTTTCTATTTTGTTGATTGTTGTTTTTTTTATTCGCAGACTCAGCAGCAGCTCAAAAAGCTCTCCTGAACTTTTTTATGGTAACGTTGATTTGTTAAGTACTTTCATTGCATTTTAAGTGATTTTCTAGTCTTCCGAATTTGAAATTAAAGGGAAAAAAATTATCTGTTTGTGAGTGTGTGTGCTTGTGTGGGGAATGAAAGCTTATAAATTATCGAATTCCATAGACCCCCCACACCTCCAAGAATGCATCAAGAAATGCTTTTCTTTTTGAGGAATTACTGCAAATCGGAGTAAAAGTAAAACATGAATTACACTTACAGGAAATTCCCTAAGACCCTAACACATGCTCCCTAAGACCATAACTTGACAGATGTTGTTTCCCTGAAAGTACAGAGTATCCCATTATTAATCTACCTTTTTTTATTCAGAAACTGAATTCTGGCGGAAATCCTCTTACTTATGTATGCCGCAGGACAGTAATTCTCGGAACAGTAAGTGTATGCAAGAGAACTTTTAGTTTGCTAAGTTAAATCTTAAAACCAACTTTTTTTCACCACATTGCTAGTTTGCTACTTCTTACCATCTCCCATTCTTGTCAGTTGCCTGTTATAGTAGTCGGAGCATTATATCAAGCTTAAACAACACCAGCAGTCTCCCTTGGCCATCAAATGCAAATGCCCTACGGCCAACCACTGTAAGTAGTTGGACGGCTAAGGATAAAACTTAACTGTTTTATTGTGCCATTTTCTTTCATCATTTCTTATGATATGTAACAATTTCTTCTATCACAATTAATCATTTGCTGTACTTATATTTAACCGTAGCAATGGCATCCACCACACGTTTCACTCATTGTCATTCACGTTCTTGAACCTTTTTTTATTGCGCTCATTTTTAAGACAGTATCCAAGTGGGACTTACTGGGTTTGTTTTATTTAGTTTATAGACTGTATATCCTGCTCATCGTCCTTTTTGGATTTGATTGTAACCATCATTTTTTCAGGGACCCAAGCTTCCGAAGTTTGGGTATTTGCGGTCAGTTACCATGCAAGCTAAAGCATCTCCCCAAGCACGTCAAATGGTAAGCTAAATTATTTTGAAATTAATAGTAAATGTGGAAAGTTTGAATTGTGGGATGGTCAGCAATCAAGTTGCTGCAGCTTCCTTAACCTGTAAACCTATTAAGGGGCGTTGCCAACACGGTTTAAGATATATAGAAAACGTTCACATGAGTAATCTTTACTATTGACGGTCTTCCCACATTAATCCCAAATATTGGTAATTCCAATATAATCTAAATTATAAAGGATACCTTCTCATAACAATCCGGTGACCTACATAAACAATTCAATATTTCACCTGGCCAGGTGGTATTGGTCATATTTTCAGCCCTTTTTCTTTTGTTTCCTTTTTCATTTTCTTTTTTCCTTCCCTTTTAACCCTTCTTTCCCAGGCAATGCTTCTTATTTTCTTCTTCCCCCCAATGCACGTGCTTATTTTTTTCTTCGTTTTCCTTCCCCCACTTTCATTGCATCTCCATATCTACCTCTTCTCCTTCACTGTCCTTTCTGAAACCCAGCCATTCCAGTCCAATTTCAATTTCATTACTTTGCTTTCATCTTGGGAAGAAATAATTTGACTAAAGTTTTTGAAAGGTATACCAGAAGGTTTCCCAAAGCCCTTAAATTTTCTACTTCACCCCAAAGCCCTTAATCTTATTCTTCTTCTTTTCTTCACATCAAACTAACATGGTCTTCAGACCCCAACTATAATGGTTTCCAGTTCTGCTGCATCTTGTCAGAAACTCGCCTGAGGTTTTCTTACTGTGGGAAAGTCATATTATACAAATAGAAATAGACGGGGAATACAGAAAAAAGAAGCCTTTGGGGTTTAGCTTCTCAAATTTTGAGTTGGATTAGCCAAAATAATTCTTCTGTAGATGAATTTGAAACAGTGAGATTGACATTTGAGTTTGATTGGAGGATGGTGTGGGGAAGGGTTCCAGATGCAACTGATGGGGAAGAAAACGGAAAAAATTATTTCCAGATGCATTGGAAGGAGAATTGGAAGACAAATAAGCGAAAGAAAAGAAAGGAGGAAAATGATAGAGAAGAACCTATGGCTAATTGGCTCTGGCTGCTGCGGATTAGAATAGGATTATCTTCTGCAGGTGCACAAAATGGGAAAGAAGAAGGAATGGGAAAAAGGAGGGAAAGTAAAAAAGAATCAGGAAAGAAAAGCAAAGAAAAAGGGAAAAAAAGACTGGAGGGACAATGACATAGCCTTCCCCACTCCACGTGTTCTTTTTTCTCTCTTTTTTCTTAATTCTCTTTACCTGTTTAGGAAGTAGCATGTCTCCTAGGATCAATATGAGAAGACAAGTAGACAACCTATGTATTTCCTATTATTCAGGATTAATATGAAAATACTGCTAATAGTCAGGATTATTCATGTGATTTTTTCCAAATATATAAGGCAATGAAAATGCATGATGCGAATAATATGTTGTCTGCAAGGCGGAAAACGTTAAAATCAACTACAAAGTGGAAATAATTGCATACTATTCTTCCATTTATTGGAGTGGTTCAGATTAATTTCTACACTCTTGGTAATATTTTAGCCATACCTTCTTGGATACTTCAGACATGAGCTTATAATGCTTTGAACCTCTACTTGTAAGTTGTCATTTACAAGGGTACCAAAGAGCTGAGAGTATCAATATTGAATGGAGTTGTATTTCAAAGTAACTTGTTGTTATCTAGTACACCCTTCTAGGAAAGCAGTGAACATGTATCATGGTCAGGAATGTAGCTTCAACTTTCAGTTTGTTTCTTAGTGTAACTGCAAGTGTGGTCCTAATAAATGTTGTGAGTCAAACGTAATACACCATCTATCCTCCGAGATTGCATTTTAGGATGCATGATGTGATGGACAAAAATTGTAAGCCACTTTCTTTTCATGAGATGACATTTTAGGCTGAATGATTGATAGCCACAAAGTGTAGGCACTTCATTTTCAAGAAGCATTTGAGACACCAGAGTTCTAACATGCTAAGTCTTCTATGTAACCAGGCTGCTGTCAAAGTGTCGCTCTTGAGCCCGGGTGTCGTATTTGAACCATATGCTCCTCGTGAAGCCATGCCATTTTGGAAAAGGTGAGCTATAGTTTTTTGAAGAGATCAAGAGAGGTGCTTTTTCAACAACTTTTTGCAATCATTACATTGTTACTTATTTGCTTTGGCCCTATGAGTGTAATGGAACATTAATGTTGCTGTTCAATTTAGTAATAGTTGTAGAGATTACCAATATTCTTGTTCTGAGAGTATGCATGGTAGGTTTATATCATCATCACTTTCTTAAATGCTGGTTACAGATGGTTTACAAGAACTGGATGGAGAAGAATCAAAGAAGAACTTACTTCTGAGGTAAATTTTTTTTGTGCTGTGGTGATACTTTATTTAACTATAACATTGGCCATTCTCGGTTTCTCTCTACCTCTTTTTTCAAAGGGTTGTGATATGACATGCATACCTTATGAGATGGGTATATGTTGCACTTCATCTCTGGTAGTTATTCCAAAATTTGGAACTTGGTCAGTCATATATTGCTATATGTTTGTTAGCACATATACATGCTTTTATATATGGTGCTCTTAGTACATTTCAACCATTTTCTGTCTCATTTTGAATATTTACTCTCAGCTCAAAAGTGCATATGCAATTGCTAAACTGCGCAAAACTGGGTATTCAAAACAGAAATTCTATGATGAAGCACTTGATTTGTACAAAGAGGTGAGCTTTTGTTGACAGAAGTTTTTGTTTTGCGAACAGCATTGTTGATTAATGGCATCTGTAATCAGATATTCTTGCCTAAAATATACTTCCTCCGCTGGGAATTGAATTGCAATTTGTGGTTCTTAAGGTTGACTGACGATAAAGTTTAATCATCCATGTGAATAGTTGAGTTAGTGCTAACAAATAAATTTACATATTCAGAAACTACATTGAAAGTTCTATAAAGTTGCAAAATCCAAATTAGAATATAATAAAAAATTTATATGCTAAATAAGTAAATAAAGTGAAACCGTGCCGACTAAGAAAAGTTGACTTTGCAAATCATTTTTGGTTGGAGGAAGCATTTAATAATTATTTGCTGGATTCATTTTTTACTTTATATAATTCTGTACTTTTCGTGCTAATATATTGATGTTTCCTTTTCCCATTCAGATAAACACTTACATAGCGAATGGAGATAAAACATCGCTGAGAAAATCAGTCACGGAGAAAATGTACTCGGTGGGTACTTTCTCATTTGCTGCACTTTGGGAATTTAGGATCTCCTTTTACTCTTGCAGTATCTTTGCCACCACTTTACGCTTTGAAAGGACATTAATCTGTGTCGTTTGACCGTCTTCTTTTTTATAAGTCAGGCTCTAAAGAATGAGATCAGGCAAAGAGAATCTGTGTGGAGTCATGTATACTGGGAGCTTATTGAACCAATTGTCAGAATACGAACCCTGCGAGCTCGTATGGTATGTTTTGAATTAATTAGATTGTAATAAAGTTTCACTTTACTGCATTTCATAAAGGCTGGCACCTGGAGTTTGCTAACTGGAAATGTATTACAGAAGAGTACATATGAAGAGTAATATGTGTGAAGCAAACTCTGGGTATGGATGTGGAGTGGTAAAGCAAAATTTAAAATTTGTTGCAGCGAGGGGTTTGGGGTGGGGTAAAGAAAACGAGAACATAAAGGAGAAACTACAGTGAGCAAAAGCATTAACCTTGCATTAACCATTATGGTTCATTGGAATGTTATAGATGTTTCTTGTAGCATTCCTGTTGTTGTGGTAACAAGGTGGTGTTTATGTAGTTGGGAAAACATTCTTACCTGAGACAGATAGTTTGTTTAGAGTGCCTTTCAACCCTAACCATAAGGTTTCATTAGTTAGCACAGGCTTAGCCAATTTTGTGCTATGTATGATAATGAACATGTATATATACATTCTCTTCGTACAGTTTTGAGACACAAAAATATGTAATACCTCTTTATTTCACATGGCATTACCGTATTAGAATGAACATGTTCGACCCGTTCTCTGGCAGCATTCTCTCTTTTCTGCTCACAATTGTTCTCCTTCGTTCTTTTCTGGTTGTCAGATACTTCTTCTTACACCACTACTGTGCTGGAAAGACGTTTTGCAACCGCTGTCGGAAGCCCCACTCTCGAGCCTCATTCATGCATGCTTCTTTGTGTGTGCCTCCATCATTTTGGTCCAGATCCCATTTTTTCGATGAAGAACCTGATCATGCTAACTCCACCAGGCTACTCATCTCCCATTGATGACTCCTACAATGTGATCGTCATTGATCAGCAAAGTCATTGAATGCCGCTAGCTCAATTGACCAGTGCCCCACTGCCCCCAGTTGTTATAGGCTTTCCTACTCCATCTTTTAGCTTTTTCCTGCCATCCCCATGGATCAGTTAGTGGATTGTCTTGAGCTACCTCCATTAAGTTATTATGGTTCAGTGCCCAAGGCTTGCGGATCAATTAACCCCTCTATTGAATGATATTACTGACAAGAAGGTAGAGCGGAGACAAATGCTTTATATTGCAACATAGTGTGTCTGTCCATTGATCCGAAATTCCATAACTTTTATAAGACATATCACATATGGTATATGTTACTGCAGCTTGGTTAAAACTGAAGGTCTATATAGCTATGTGCCTCCCCTTTTGCATTTTATTCATCATCTCTATTTTCTTCTCATGTTCGCAGTTCGCTATAAGCTATCATCTGATGCTGGTAGTAGTGGCCTGGCTCTTGGTATTTGACTTCAGCAATTATGTTGAACTAAACTTCTTATGCCTTTACACTTCTTATATTGTGACACTTTTCCTACCTGTACCCTCCGTCATCCCCATCTCACACAAGACCCCTCACCTAGGTTGCTGACTCTCATTGTTCTTTATAGGCGAACCAATGTCTTTTTGACCATCTCTGTTTGGCCCTCTAATGACATGCCAGAGTCATCTTTGTATGACTATGAATTTGCCACTCTCATATTTGTATGTTTTTCCTGCATTCTGTATACGACATGTTTCCAGTGTATTGGTAGAGTCCTGACCAATTACACAGTTCTACTTTAAAAAAACGTGAAACCAATCTAAAAAATTTTGTGTTTGCTACAGATTGGTGTTGATAAGGATGACCTCAGTAAAGTCTTTGTACAACTGACGCTTGAGCTTGTTACTAAACAGGTAACCCTACTGCATAGTTTCTATCTTTGACCTTGTACAAATGCAACTTGAATCTACCTTTTTCTCAAACTTGGAGAGATTTCATGATATGTGTTTTGTTGATTTATGTATTCAATTGTAATGGGATGCCTCTTCTTTTTGTTGTCAAAAGGAAATAGTTTTTAATTTTATTCCAGTGGAAATTCTTGGGAAAGATATACTCACAAGCACTAATGGAATTGTTATCTTACAGAAATTTGAAGCTTATAATTCAAATGGAGCTGTTATTGCTGGAGATAAAAATAAAGAGGTAGGTTGATATTCAAACCTTTTTTCCACTGTTGCCATTTCCCGTACACATTCATGCTAAGGTGCTCTTTCTTACCCACACATATAATATGTAAATCACAAAGAACACTTATGATTGTATATCATTTGCAATTAGAGAAAAAAAAAATCATGTGCCATTAGTGCATTCTCATAATTTTTCTTGTGTGAATCATTTTATTTCCAACTTACTTGCTTACATAGCTTTTTGTACCGTCCTTTTGATGTTGCTTTATACGCTATGCTTTTTATGCCTTTTAGTGCTTGCCCTAAATGTCCAAACATTTGTGTTCCATACTGTTCATACTATCTTTCACCTTTAGATGCCTTCTTTTCTCTAATTTTTCATATAGAAATTTCAAGAACTGCAAGTTTTCCATATTTGTGAGGGAAAATATCGTAACCTCCTCAGAACCTACTGTTTGATTTCCCCTGGCTTGGTTATTTAATGGACAACACCACAGTTATACTAACTCGTGAAACTATCACACCCCTGATAAGCTGATACTCCCTATCCATGTATTTGTTTTATTCAAGGTCCTTGTTCGCGATATATGGGTTTTTGAAAAATCTCTCTTCCATACTGGAGCCAGCTGGCGCCTCTGTGGCAGAATCAAAACATAACTGGGCTTTCATGGCAAAGGATCACAGTCACATTTCATTTTGACAGATCAAACAACTTTCTCTCTATTTTTCAATGGAAATCTCTTCTTCTTTTGATCCCATAAATTTTGAATGCATTTTCAAAATCAGAGAACGTTTGTAAGCATATCATTCCCGTATTCCAGTATTGCAAACTCAGCACTGTCTCCAATACTTATTGGATTTTGTCATGTCCAGTGAAAAAATGGTTATTCAGTTTAGCTTCTTCTGTGTCTCAGACTCTCAGTGTATGTAGAGCTTTGGTTGAATTTCAGCAAGTGCGTGGGTATGTAGTTTAGCATGGCTTTTATGCAGTCACTCTTCATAAGAGAAATATTATTTTTTGTGTGAACTTGTAACAAAATATCAAATATGTGAAGTTGTGAAATGTGAAGTGTAATGGTCGGCTTTGATTATGAGTCCACTTTGTTTTTAATTTAAAATATTAAAAAAACATTTTGATGAAAACAAATGATTTGTTCGGCTTCCATCTAGAGGTAACCAGGTAGTCATTATTATCAATTTATCACTATCAAACTAATTAGGACATCATAGCTAATGATTGGTGTTTGGTATACATACATATTTTTACTACATTTTCATGCCACATTCATATGTGACATGTTCTATTGGCTCATGAAAAACTATCAACTTTTTGCTGATACATGATATAAGTGAATGCAGTAAAAAAATATAGCAAAAAGTTTGCACTAAACTGTATTGATCACAATTATAATTTCAAATATAATGATTGGGTGGCTTTGTAATGAACACACAGGGGCGGACCGTAGTAGAGACCCAGGGGGGCTACCGCCTCCCAACAAACTTTTTTTTAGTGTATATATATACGAAAAATATTTTTTGCTCTTCCAAAAAGTATTTTGAACCCCCCAAAAAATATTTTCGCCCCCCCAAAATGACTTTCCTGGGTCCGCCCCTGTGAACACATGCTACAAATGTAATAAAGATTTGCTTATAAGTTGAACTATAGTAGGGTGTTCCATCACTTGTAAATTTGTAATTAAATATTGAAAAAAAAAACTTAGTTGAGATTATTTAAACACATCAATAATATATTAATATCTCTCTTTGAATTACAAGTGGCGTTTCATCACTTGTAATTAAATATCTCTTTTAAACTTTCATTTTTGCGTAGTACTTTCAAAAATGTTTTCCAAGCCTTTATTTATTTGTTTCCATTTTTGTAATTGACATCAATAATATGGACTTTTGCTAATATTACTTTTGAAAAAGTGGTGGACAAAAATGTATTCAGTAATTATTAGTGATTATAATTGTATTTCAAATTTACATCATAGTACTACATGTAAGTCACTCTGATGGTAACTTTGAATTTAGTTATAGTCACTAATAATTATTAAATCACTTTTTTGTTATAATTAATTAATGATATTATGTACTGAGACTCTGAGAATCTTGGAAAATGTACTCCCTAATTTTGGTGAGGGACACTCATGACTCATCCTTTACCCACTGGCACTGGTTTTAATGTTTTATCTTCGTGGATACAAAAAAGAAAAAGAAAATTGAATGATGGAACAATGTTTATTTTATAATTTATACTCCCAAGAATTGCAATTTAGTGCTTTTATGGTTGAGTGACGATAAAGTTAAATATTTTCAGCGGACAATAAATTTGTTTTACTGATTAAGATAACATATTCAGAAACTATATTGAATGATTTACAAAGTCGCAAAATTCAAATTAATGTATAATAAAAAAATTGATATCCTAAATAAATAAGTAAAATCAAGTAGTACATGTTGACTAAAAAAAGTAGAATGTGCAAATCATTCTGTGATGAATGAAGTTAGAATATCTCTACCAAGTAAAATATATGTTAATTTATTACAATTAGATATCATATTTTAACTTGAATACGATAAGGATGTTTATAAGCATTGTTAGTCCCAGTAAACTAACAATCACACAATCATAGCAGATAAAGAAGAAGAGCAGATAGAAAGATATGAGATATTCAACGAATCTGGTATACCGTGATAATGGCCGCTGCTCTCTCTCGAGAAGGAGAGCAGCGGCAAACCCTAATCTCTCTATCTCTGCGCCTCTATTCTCTAAAGAATCAATCGTTAGGGTTTCCATAAGTTAGTCTCCTTTTATAGGAGAAGTTGGCTAAGTTATGGATTACAAAGAAGCTAGCGAGCTGATACACATTTATGGCCCGTATTACACATTTAATTAATAACTACACAAATACAAAGATATTTAATTAGATTGGACACCATAAAATATTTCTAACGAGCATTAATCATGAAATGAATTACATTCATAAATAAATAAATTAACTGTATATGTTATATGTGCAAAGCACAAGTCCATTGGCTAGTTGTTAAGGAATGGAGATAAAAAAATAAATATTGTGTGAACGTAAACTAAACCATATTTGTGTGAACTGTGAGAAGAAATGATGTATTTAATTCACGAGATTGTGTAGATCTTTTAAAATGTACTCATAAATTATGTACCGAGCACCAGAAAAGGAAAATTTGTTATAATATATTTATGAGATTGAATCTTTCAAAATATGTCTTTGAATTGCATTCGTATTTATTTAAAGCTAAAATTTTACAAATGCTAATTAATTAGAAGATCGATATAAGTATATTGTTAAGTTATGCATGGTCGATCCTAATGAGTGATATTAAGTGTGCAAATTTAAAACTAATCAAGTTCTTTTGTTTTTGTACAGCTACTCCAGATTGCTGTTATCCTTGATTGGAGTTATATTAGTTTTAGCATCCAAGCATATATATGGAGTTTGAAGACAAAATGTGATATGGAGTTATATTAGTTTTAGCATATTTATAAAATGTAAAAGAATGTGTTGTTCTCAATAGTTAACATCCTAGGAAATCGATTCTATTGTAATATTGTTTCAAGCTTGTCTTGCATCAAATACTCCCTCCGTCCCACAATAAACTTTATAGTTTGACCTACACACATATTAAGGAAATAAACTTACCATGAGGTAAATTTTACGGTTTTGACACTGTTTCGACACTGTTTGGCACTGTTTGACATTGTTTTGCACTGTTTGACACTATTTTGATGTAGATTAACTTGCCATTGAAAAAAATGAGCACTTGTTTCTGGGACATCCAAAAAAGGAAAGTGGAAAGTTCATTGCGGGACGGAGGGAGTATATTTCATATAAATAGGAGACTTCATTCTCAAGAAAATTATAATGGCCTTTTATGAATATTACTAAAATATTAGATATAAATGCCAAAAAGTGATATGGTTTTAACTTTTCCAAATATATGACTTACCGTATCATTTAAGTGATTATTTAATACGATAGTATTACATTTACTATTCTAATATTTCATTTTTAAAATTAATCATTAATCAATGTGTTCTATTCACCCTAATGACCGCAACCACCATCTCCGCCGCCGTTACAATCATCGTTGCCGCCTCCATCACCACCGCTACCACCACCATAACTGCCGCAGCCGCAGTGAAATCGTCGGCAGTGACTCGCTCACCCAACATCGTCCAGTGACTTCGTGCCCCTACCTTCTCCAATGACTCAATTGTCAAGGGCATTTCAGTGACTCTATCCATCATTTATCTAGTGACTTTATTATAATTTCAAGAATATGAAAAAAATGAAAAAATGACATGTATATTACTAAGAGATTCTCTGACAAAAATATGTGTAGTTATGTTTTTGGACATAAATATGACTAGTCACTGTGTACGAGTCACTTTAAATTAGTCACTATATTGTATTTTAGAATGACAAGTCATTGTAGATGACTAACAAGTCACCGTGAACTAGTCACTAAATATGACATTTTTTTGGAAAATTTTAAAATAAATCATATTTTTGTCTTTTGAATTTAATTTAATAATATTCATTGAAAGGGCCTATAAAAACGAGGAAAACTAATTGGTTGGAATATGGTTTTACTTGATGAGTCAAATGCATTTCGGAAATATATATACAGAAATATACTATCATATAACATCGGTATCGTGAGACTTTTTTTAAAAAAAAAAACTATTTTCATTTTTCAACTGATCAGTTTAGATTTGGAATATTAGAAATTTAAAATTTTGCTTCTTTTTTTCAATTCATACTTTTTATACACCATTCATTGTCAGTACTATTTCATCTTTAAATAATGTCGAAAACTATGTAGTGAGCTTTAAGCATGTATATTACTAACAAATTTTCCACGAATGAAAATATGAATAATTATATTTCTTGAACAAAAATATGACTAATACTTATGTACGAATAATAAGAATCATTATAGTATATTTCAAAATAATAAGTGACTGGCACATACTAAAATAGTCCCAAAGAACTAATCACTTTTTTAAAATGAGTCATATTTTTATTTTTTTAATTTAATTAGGTGTGTCCACTCTGCACTCCACGGGTCCCTGTCTATTTTGTTGAGTAGGGAGATCATAGTGTTATCCTCATTCAAACTACGCCAACCAATCCAAAACGGTTCAAACTGTTCTCATGCTCCAATTCTCCATTCCCGACTAACTGATGTTACCAGCATTGCAATGGAGACCATTATCTCCACTCCCACTTTTCGTCCACTCTACAATCTTCAATCTTCAAGAACTCATCTTTCTTACCAAAAGCGTTCAAATCTTCTAACTTTACCCAAACCCCTTCGTTGCAGCCTCATAAAAGTGGATAGCCGGCCAGAAAAGCAGCCTGTTTCTCTACCCAAAGTCTGGATTTCGCAGGTCCATCAAGGACTAACTGCGCTTGCAATTTCTTTGGCTCTGAATTTCTGCCCTGTTTTGCCTTCTTGCTCTGTGTTAGCTTCTGAGTTTGATGTTCTTAATGGAGGTCCGCCGAAGGAATCTTACGTTGTTGACGATGCTGGGGTCCTTAGCCGGGTCACAAGATCCGATTTGAAGCAATTGTTGTCCGATTTAGAGTCTAGGAAAGGCTACCACATTAACTTCATTACTGTCCGAAAACTAACTGTAAGTTCGTGGGGTTTTCCACATTCTTTTATACCAGCTTTAGCAGCGGAGTAGAATAAATATAGATTTTTGAAATATTATTGGATCAATTTTACTTGGCATATTTGTTTTTTGGTTATGCAGTGACATGAAAATGCTTAAGGTTTTTAAAATGTCTATTTTAAAAACCTTGGGTTATATATATAAGATGATTTACTTGGATGGACTTATACTGTACGAGTAAGTAAGTCTTTAGTAAGTATAAATAAAAAGCATCATCCACATGGCTGTAATAAAATCAAATTTATGGGGTCGATTCAAGGAGAAGGCGTGTTGAAGTTAATATTTAGGACGTTTTCACATAAACTGAATTTTTCTGGTGTTTGTTTAATTCAGGTCCGGTATGTCTGGTTTCGTAAAGGTCTGTTTTATGCATATTTTACTATTGATTATGTTTAGTTTGGTCTAGTCTGAAGTGGTATGAGACTGAAACCAGTCCAAGTGAAAACAACCTTAGTGCGGAGTAACCTTTAAGGCATTCATTTCTCATATTTGACCATGATGAGGGCTATGGGGAGGATAACCATATACTCTAACATTTTGTAAGTATGAATTTAGTAAAGGAAGGATACACATTTTAAATTTAGGGAAGTTCTCTTAGACAAGACTCAAGAGGCAAGACTAAAAATATTCACTATTCCATTCTTTATTCTGCATCCAAAATGGAGTCCCTATTCAGATACAGGAGTCGCTAAACCTGTTGAAGTTTAAGGGGGAATTGGAGACCCACTTTTTTTTCTTTCCAAATTTGAACTTGCACCTCATATTTTAAACGATTAATATTTGTACCTGAAATCAGGGGTGCAACTCCAATTGATAAAAATATGGAATGCAACCCCAATTACCCCTAAATGTAATAGGACATAAATGACACGACTTGAAAAATACCTAAAGCATGAATAAAATGATAAGTATTGAGTATATTTTTTAAAAGGAATCATTATTCTTGACGTTCTGACAATTCCATTGTCTTCCTTGTCCGCCGCTGGTCAGCGTTGATTTCCTTTTAATGGCCACACAATTTCTATGTTTATGTTTTGCTGCTATCCTATGCAATTACTCTTTAATTTGTCTTTACCCATGACTTTATCCAAAGTTTTATCTAATCTTCATCAATCCTATATTTGATAATTTGAAGTGAATAAGGAGGCTGATTAAGGCTATAAGATTTTTTTCATTATATATAAGCATTATTTGTATCCTTTTTATTTTATCATTTTTATGTATATTCATCTCTTTTTATATTATCTTTTTATAATAGCTTATCTTTTTTTTCTTTATTTTCTTTCTTTTCCTTTTGGTGGTGATATCATGTATTGATTCATGTTAGCCGACTTCAATATCTTTTGGGACTAAGGCTTGGATGTTGTTGTTGTTGTATTATGAAAAACACGACCCTCAAGAAATGATAGAAATGAACTTCAGGAATGTAGTTATTAGACAGTGAGTAAAAAGAATGACTTATTGAATTGTCATGTACTGTGGCTGTAGAGCAAAGCTAGTGCATTTGAGTATGCTGACCAAGTTTTGGAGAGATGGTATCCCAGTGTTGAGGAAGGCAACAACAAGGGCTTAGTCGTGCTCGTAACTAGTCAAAAGGAAGGGGCAATCACAGGAGGGCCTGAATTTGTGAAGGCTGTTGGAGACACTGTTCTCGACGCTACTGCTTCAGAGAACCTGCCAGGTTATTTTTTTGTCCTCACAACTTTTCATGTTTGGTTTTTGCATGCAAATAAATCGAGTTCATTTTTTATTTTTTAGTAAAAAAACATGTAATTGTTATTTTTGAGAGTTAAGTTTAATACAACAACAACAACAACATCCAAGCCTTAGTCCCAAAAGATATTGGGGTCGGCTAACATGAATCGATACATGATATCACAACCAAAAGGAAAAGAAGGAAAAAAGATAAAAAGATAAGCTATTATGAAAAGATAATATAAAAAAGATGAATATATATAAAAATGATAAAATAAAAAGGCTGCAAATAATGCACATATATATATAAGGATAAAAAAAACTAGGAAAAAAAAAGATGAGGGAAAAAGATTATCAAGATCACTCCTTCACGTGAATACCCGCCCTCCACTTAGTTCTCTCCAAAGTCATGCCCTCATCCAACCCCAGAAGAAGCATATCACTTCGAACTCCCCTAACCCACGTCTGTTTGGGTCTTCCTCTCCCTCTCTTCCCTGCCTCTTCTCCACACATCTCAACTCGCCTAACAGGTGCATCACTCGGTCTTCTACGCACATGACCAAACCACCGTAGGCGCGACTCCCGCATCTTATCTTCAATAGGTGTTACTCCCACCCTTTGTCTGATTGTCTCATTCCTCACGCGGTCCTTCCTAGTATGCCCACACATCCAACGCAGCATGCGCATCTCTGCCACACTCATCTTTTGAATGTGACATTGTTTCACCGCCCAACACTCTACGCCATACAGTAATGCAGGCCTAATTGCTGTCCTATAAAATTTACCCTTCAGTCTAGTCGGCATACCTCGGTCGCATAGAAATCCTGACGCACTCTTCCACTTCATCCACCCTGTTCTGATTCTATGGGATACATCTCCCTCTAACTCACCGTCCTTCTGAATTATGGAGCCCAAGTAACGGAACATATCGCTGACTGGTATCTCCTTACCATCCAGAGTAATTCCGCTATTACCACTACTTCTACCTCCACCAAACTTGCACTCCATGTACTCTGTCTTGCTCCGACTTAGTTTGAGAGTTAAGTTTAATAAACAAAGTAAAACGCATTTTATTACAATTGGTTTCATAATATAGTACTCCAGGTACTTCTTTTGTCCTAGTATCTTTGTCTCATCTTTCATTTTTGCCCGCCTCACAGAGTCAGTCCCATACAATATTTTGTAATTGTGTGGTGTAAAGTGTAAACTCATTACTACGTCTACAAATTCAATATTAACCACATAATTGCATTTTTCTTGGTATCAGTAGCACACTACCACTTTCTCATCTCATGTCCCAAAGATAGGGAGACAGAGGTACTAGTTTATATGATGTTATAGAGGGAAAACTAGGACATGCATTCTGTATGGTAAGACTGCTTCTACCAACAAGAATATGGGTTGCAATTTGTGTAGTCCTGGCAACTGAGGAGAAGTACAATGAAGCTGTGTCTAGTGCTGCCAAGCGTCTTGTTGCTGCCATTGATGGGCTTCCTGATCCTGGCGGCCCCAAGTTCAAGGATAACAAACGAGAAGCCAACTTCAAAACCAAGGAAGAGACAGATGAGAAAAGAGGGCAATTTACACTTGTAATTGGTGGTTTGTTAGTGATTGCTTTTGTTGTTCCAATGGCACAATATTATGCATATGTATCCAAAAAATGATCTGTACCCTAGGTTCTATTTTCATTTGGCATGAACAAACATGTATACATTCTGTGTACAAAACTGTGATCTGGGAAATAACTCATTTAGCAATACTAGTTTTGTGTACATTCTGTGTGTATAAACTGTGATTTGCGATAACTTTACTCTATTTGCTTTTCCTTTTTATTATTGTTAGTCCAACATTGGAAAAATATAAGAGAGAATGATGAGAATTATGAGTTAAATAAGACCTGGGGTTGAACCGGCTAGTATATTAGATTCAATTTTTAGTATTAATTCGCCCAAGTGCTTTATGACCCGGTTGAGTGAGTAATTAACCCGATAGATTCAAAATGACCTAGTTTTTTAACTCTTAATTAGACATTGGCTTGAATTTATTAATAGATTGGACCTAAATCACTTAATCTCTTAACATAGTTTGACCAAAATGTTTTGTTAGTGACCAACCAGTTCAATTCAAAATGGCCCAGTTGTTTTAGAGTCCCACATCAGAATATAGAGAGAATGATGGGTTAACAAGACATTGGCCTGAACATATCAATATAATGAATATATTGAATTCAATCTTTTAGTGTAGGTTAATGCTAAACCATGATATAATACTGGTTCTCTGTCATTAGAGTAAATACTTTATCTTAACTGATAATAGCAATGAGATTGAGCAGATATATGTTATTTCATTTATGAATTTCATTAGTTAATAGAGAGCGCGGTGAAAGAATAAAACAGCAACAAGCATGTTAGATTGCTTGAACTTGAGTCATTTCTGTGGGAGGTGGATCTGAATATTTTCCGGTGAGGATTTGCATTGCAACATACTGATTTGCAGCATCTGTGTAATGAATGCCATCCCAGTTTATATATTCAATACTATCATCGCACCCTTTGGCTGTGATTGTTGTTCCATTTATAACCTTTGTTTGACCACATGATACTCGGCTGTCATAGTTCAGTGGAGGACCTCCAACTCCACAGCAAGCCATTGTGGCCTGCTGAAATCCTGCAAGATGGTTTGTATGTGTAATAAGTATATGTGATGTGTATTTCCTTGCTCTACTAAAATTTGTAAAAAGTGAAAATTGGATTCCTCAACAAAAGGCCCAAGAATATGTATAACAAACTCTGTAATATGACTGTCTGCCATTACAGTGCTTGTTTAAATTTTGTAATTTCTGTGGGACATCAATTTGTTTTGTGCATGTATGATGAAAATGCAGCACTGCTTTCTTTCCTGTCCAAAAACGGATTTGGATTCTCTGCACGTTAAGGGTTGACTCGGTTCCAGATCGACCCGTTTTTGGGTTCGAGACTGAATCATTTTTACTGTTCAAACCCGGACTCCATAACTGGTCCAATTCTTCCAGAATAGGATCGGACCAGGTAGAAACTCGTACCTGGAACCGTACCGGATATTATGGGTTATTATGGGTCATGGTTAATCCCTTTCCAGGACCTAGAACCTTCTGGTCCAAAATCAGCCTGTGACCATCACCAAGTCTATGGCTAAAAATATTATGTCACCCTCTATGTGTGACAAGGTTCTATAGTGATATATGATGTGGCTAAAAATATTATGTCACCCTATATATTTTCCCTTTAGATTGATGATTTTCACTGGTTTAAGTTGCTTCACATTCAAGATCTACATTTATTAATGTTTTATGAGAAAACAATAAAAAATAAGCTGATGATTTAGACTGCTATAAGATAATCTAGTTTTGTTGCATAACTGGGGGAAGATGGATGTCTTATTCATGTAATTTCGAATGGTGCTCACCATATTTGGAATAAGTAGCAATGAGATCAGACTTGATTGTGAAAATATCCACATAAGTAATAGTTGCATCAGTATATATGCCTTGCAACTTCTTGCAGAGTGAATGAAGCTGCAGGTTGAAGAGTCTAGCTGCCAGGTTATGTGAGTCCACACATCCCATCTCGTCCAACTTTAATGGGTCAGTCCCAAATTTTGCAATATTTTGAGGTAAGCAGCCCAGAGGACCTGTGTTGTGGATCCAAAAATTTCTTGCCCCTCCTTGATCATAGAGTTCCTGAATGCAGAAAAGGCATCAACTATAAAACACTACTATGAAATCGTCAAACTTTCGAACAGTAAATGTTTGGCCTTTTCATTTTGGAGGTCAGAAAATTTTACCCCAACTCTGTTTTCAAATTCTAACAGAATGATAGGAACCGAAGCAATAACTTGATCTAAAGTCTTGGAATAAAAGGCCCCAGCAAGATCATTCTGGCCTATATCAAACGTGTAAAGCCCTTTCTGGAAAAAATCTTCAGCTGGTATATACTTTTCATATTTCCTAGCTGTAAAGACATCAAATTACATTAAATGACAAGGAAATTCGTGTTACCCCTTATGTCATAATTGCCACTCTAACCTTGTTTTTTTGGAGCTGATTTAGTTACGTTTGTGTTTTGATTATCTTCACAGCCTCCTCTGTCAATTCTCATTTTTTACTCTAGTTAACTGTCAAATTTAATGATACTGTTAAATATACTCTTAAAAGTCAACACTTGCACATTCATCGTTATAAGACTTTACTTTATTTATCCTCCTCTTCCAAAGGTATTTCTACTACGAGTAGCAAAGACCAGCAGTCATGACTTAAAATGGAAGAAAAGTTTTTTTTATTAATAAGAACAGATATTTTACATAATCTTTGTTAGATGTGACCGTTATGTAGAGCCAAGTGGGATTAACTGGATAGGGACGTTGCGAGAAGAATCAAAGTGCAAGAGATAACTAATGTACTTGAAAACACAAGGTCGGAATAGCAATTATAACCAACCTCACGGTACTATTAAAATTTTCACTAGATGATGTGTAGGGAAAGTAAAGATTTATTTATTTATTTATTATTGAGATCAACTTACAACTCTTAGCTTGAATTTCAAGAACTCGAGTCTTGAACCTAAGAAACTGGGAGACTTGAATCCCTAATGAGAAGGGGCTGACAGATAATGCTGTTGCTGAAAGTATAGTGGAACCAGCTGCTGCAAAGTTGCATCCTTTTTTGAAAGTTGGCATGCCAATGGAATCCAAATAGGGGTTCAACAATGGCAGATCCATTGCGTCCACTGCTAACATTAAAGTCAATTATGTTAAACATTTACTATGTTTAATACACAGGCCAATGAGGAGAAAATTGTTGAGAATAATTGTTAACAAAACTAGATGCCAAAACGTAAAAAGCAACACAGAAGTTTATGTGGACCCCCTTCACGATCCCCAGATTCGGACCACTTTTGCTTATGAGAGAAACGATAAGTAAATTTAATGAGTATGTCAATGTACTCTATAGAAGCATGTTGACGTGATGAACGATGAAGATTCTCCCATCTTAAAGAATAGGAGAATCTACAACACTCATCACACCAACGTGCTCTGTAGTGTTGGTGTGCTCACTATATTTTGCAGGGAAAAAATAATACTATTGGAGACTCAGACACATGATAGTGAGACCTCATACTGGATTGAGAGGCACCACTAATTTCATCAATCAGATTCAAGACATCTAAAAATTATAGAAATGTGGTAAGTGCATATTGTTTTCCTCCATATTTGACTTTCACCAAGCGTCGGGTACAAAGTTACTAAGTTAAAAATAGAATTTGGCCCGCTTGGGAATTGGGATGCTTTGGGGGGTAAACACCAAATTTTGCAAAATGCACTCACCCAGAAAGTCAATGATCAACCGTCCATCGCAAAATCTCCCAGATGGTTTCTTGAAGTAGACATGTCCATTTGGAGGGTCAAGGCGGTCGCCAACCCCTGCAACAAGCTCTCCCGTATCGGAGTTCGAATCCCCAAAGTTGAAAACTGCTGGGTAATTGAAGTCAATGGCATTGGCATTGAGGAAACCAATCAAGAACAGTGCAAGAACTTGAAGAACAGCTGCAGGAGCTATTGAAGCCATTTATAATGTTTTATTTCAGCTATTGAATATGTCTGTTTCTATAGGCTTTATAGTCATTATAAATAGTATTCATTTTAGTCTGGTGAGGTTTTGAGTGTGCCTAAAGTTGTTTAAGAATTAAGGCTGTGGGAAAGACCATAGCGTGCAGTGTACTGTTGCTTTTATATCCTTGCCAGGCTGCCAGCATAATGCTCCTATGATTAGTCCATTCTTTGCATTATAATGTAAACAGAATGATATGGACGGTTTTCAACATACTATCAGTCAAATTAAACATGTTTCCTGATGGTTATTGTATCAATTTTGTGGACACGGTCCCGGTTCTTGACCGGGACCTCGAATTTTTACCCTGAATCTCATGACTAGCACCATGTATGGTTCTAGGCTTCTAGCTCTTCTATAATAGGACTGGACTGGTCGATTCCGGTTAGGATTTGAACTGCCAATGCTTATTTCCTTTCAAAAATCCAGTTGGGAACTGGACCTTGTGGGATAACTAGTTTGGATGCGGTTAAGGTCTCACCATTTGGGGAATCAAACAAGTGTTGAACTAGAAGGGTTCGTTCTTACATTTCGCTTGGATGAAGTAAACTTAAGTTAATCTTGTGAGCTCAAGTTTTGTTAAATGTGGATGATTCTAGGTGCCATATACGAAATGTTGTTTGGATAATTATTAGATTAGTCCATGTGAATGCAGTTAATTTTTTTGATAAATACTAAAATTACATATTGCGAGGTATTTATTAATGGAACTTAAAAGTACATATTAAAAATTGGATTTGATGGATTGTAGGGATCCAAGTATGTATAAAATGTAGAGATTTGAGCTCAAGTATTGTGGAGAAGATGAATAATAGAATGATAATGAATTGAGAGCTAAGGTTTACAAGCTCCAAAAGGAGTATAAATAGAGGAATAACGGGCCGGGCCGCTAATATGGGCCCGGTAGCCCAACTACATAAAAGACTAATTTAGTACATACAAATGATATATTAAAAGTACAATAATACAAATGATATCCGTAAGACGTATGTGGGCCGCTGTCCGGGCCCAATAGTCGTGAGACCTGGGGGTTCGAGTCTATATACTCTATCAGGAGTCCCCCACTCCCTGAGTCGAGAGTACTCGAGGCGAAAGGGAGTAGTCCAAACTGTATCTGCACCGTTCTTCTGTCTTTGATTTCTTCGTCTTGCCGGGGGACCA